GTATCGATATTGTGAACGTTGTACCTGTCCTTTTCTGCTCTACCCTCCTTTTCTGGTTTGCGAGCGACATAACCGTACAAAGTAATCTTTTATGAGCCTACTCTTGGAAGAGTATGATGCGTGTCTTATCTCTCTTTGTTGTAAATGAAGTAAAACTTCTCGATTTGAATATTATTTTTCAACATTTTATTTAGTAAGTCAAATGTAGTTATTTGTTGTAAGGTAAGTTCACCATACAGTTTGTCGAAACGGGTGTAAGTACTCGGTTTTTGTTTATGCGTAAACCAACAGTTACCAATGGCTTTGTTCACTGTTATTACGGTTTTGTAAATCCACCAGATATTTCTTTGGGATCAGACGGCCGTGTGTGAGATATATTATTTTATTATTTGTTACGAACAGGTTCTTGTAATTTCATAGGCACGGTACCGATTTAGTCTCATCGTTAATCGTCAGTCGAATAACAACTAGCTTCTGTATACTATAGAGGTTAATTATATTGCTATTAATGAAAAGATATTTTTAAAAGTGACTGTTCTCAATATCATCCATTCGTATTTTTCTTTTCAACTTGTTAGTGCCGGTTTGTATCTTAATAGTACCAGATTGCGCAGGGCTTGTGCTCAATCAGAATAGGTGTAGGTTGTACAAAGATGCGGTCTCCTCTCAGGGTTAGTTCCCTGCAAGTTTATACATATAGTGCAAAGGCATAGTTATAATGAACGGTTTTCTTTGTCTGATTAATTCTGGCATTGGATCGTTACATTGTTATATTTACAGTGGACTATGAGACGGTGACGACCGCCTCAACCTTGAATGCATTATGTGTTTGATTATTCCACGCGTTACATTTACAATTTGAGCCGTTACTGTCTGTACGATATCCATCAGGCGGTTATTTCGATCTGCATACCTATTTGCTTGCTATTCCCGTTTAATTGCACAATTTTCATTAGGTTTAAGTGTTCTAAGTTTTATACATTTTTGTACATTACACTTGTAAATTTAATTTACTGTTTCGTTAAATGAAATACCAAGTATTATTCTAAATGCCATCTCTATCTCCATTTGTAACCGGTAATTTATTTAAAGTACACCTAGTCTTGAAATGAAGCGTGGAAATATCCCATACATTATTTATTTATACATACAACTTCAACATATACTATGTAAATTATATTTAGAATATGTAAATTGGTTACTTAGTTTATTATTATATCATGGGTTATACATATATTATGTGCTCATTTATCACAATGATCGTCCTATGATTTTTAATGAATATAGATTGGCAACCTTATATTATTATTGTTTTATTTATTAAACATCTTTAACATAGCATCTTTATATATTCTAGGTACAATATTAAAATTCTTTCACAAATCACAAATTTGTGGAAACCTGGAGCCTAAGTAGGCGTATGCCTGTATTTCAGGTCACCAAGATTCCGCCCTTATTTACAATTAGTTTCAGCAGTATCGCTATTAGGTAAAACATTTGAAGTATGTCTTATATTAGTAATTTTATAATAAGTGTATGTGTATGTGTGTTTATGTTAAGTATTGTTTGAGTTAGATCTGTACACCTATTAACGTTTCCGTTGTGTTGTAGTCCATGGACATTAAATACTAGCCGATTTTTATGTTACAAGCGTACTTGTTGACATGGTATATTTGTAAGATATTAAAACCAAGAAGTTTTTATAGAAGGTCATTGTATCATCGTAACTTTTAAAGCGAATATCCAAATGCAAGACTACGTAAATCTGATCTAAGTCTGCGTCAGTCAGCGGTTGCTAATCAAGAATATTCACCGAATCGTTACAGAATTTAGGTTTATGCAGACATTTGAAACAGTCTCAGTATAACATAGGCAACCTCGACTTCTGGGCTTGTTGCGTCACCACCGGACATGATACAATACCTCTATTATTAAAATGTCCACAGAACAGAGAATCGTTTAGGCGCATTGCATACAAGACGTGCTGACCTCGCATCCACTTAAACCATCATCATTTGGAATCATACATAATTTAATACATGATATAAACGGCATATCACATAACTATCCCTTAATTGGACATATTGTTTTAAGGAATTCGCTACAAGAAAGCGGCATAAGGCAGAAATCAATTAGATCAAGTATACTTCCTATAAAAATCTACAATAACTAACATACATAAATTCTTTTATTAGCACGTCTTAAATAGAATGAATGTGCTCATACATGTGATATGCAATCGAAGCATAATGCAAATACCTAGTTCTCATTGTAATTGACACACGTTACAAAATAAAACGCATTAAAAAAAATATTTGCAATAACGAGACTAACGTCGTAGGTCTGCGTTCTCGGTAAACATATCGTCCTTCAGATCCCAGTCGAGGACCCTATAATGTCAGGTCGTCCTCAGGGCGACTGAGTCACAGCACGCAGTCATCGTTAAGAGGGCATTGCTCACTTCGTAACTCCCCCCTTGGCTCGCCCGCTGCATCAGCGAACCACCGTTTGAAAAAATAAAACCACTCATATGCGTATCAGTACATTCATTGTTCTATCGTCCTTATTCTGATTCCATTGTCTCTGTGTCCGCCATTATTATTATTGATTGCAAATTTATGGTTGTACTGCGTTATTGTAAACCTTTTCAGAATTTAATGTTCAAAGGACATGTAACTAAATGTATTAATAATGTTTATGTATTGTGTTGCGGAAAACCACGACTTTAAATTGCATGAGCTAAATAAATTTGTCGTTAAAATAAAAGCAATAACAAGTTATTTTTATATTTAAATGTAAACTAGTTTAAATAAAATAGACTTTAAAGCACAAGATCGTAGCTACTACACTGTAAGTACCTTCAAATGTGTGAAAGTTTGAAATGATGAGTAAATTACGCAATGTCATTTTTTTCTTTGTTACGGTAATAAAAGCTTTCACATAGCCGTATCAAATCTGAAATATCTAGATAATTACATACCCATAATACAGCTATCTTCCTGCGTTGTACCAAGAGTGAAATCTATCGCACTGACGCAACATATGTTGGTGTAAATGTGACGCACTTCATCCCGTAAGTCAGTCAGGCTAAATGTGATAAAACTCCGTTCCTGAGTTTATAGCTTCTACTTACGGCTCGAGATTTACCAACCGATCTCAATGATGTAGTGAAAACAGTCGGGAGGACTTAAATATAGAAGAGGATGCGAGCAGGTCGGGTGACATCTATAATAAGACCACGGGAGACCGATGATACGCACGTAGATTGCTCAACATTTCACGGGTTGTTGACTTCTTAATTCAAAATTAAGACTGCGTTTTTTGTCGAAAGTACCTATAAGTAATACCTGTTAAGCACATGTTTTTGTCTTTGATGATATAAAATTTAAAAAGCTTTAATCTAGCCGATCTTTTAGTATGCATAGTCCTGAATGATCCTTTCACAAATAAATACTATCCTTGACAAACTACTATCGTTTACAATACATAATTGTCGTTTTTTGTTGTGAGCACAAGGTGGTCCTAACAGTGGGTGGTCGACCACAAGGGCCATCCGGCGTCACGGCAGCTTTTACATCAACCTTTTACAAATCAACCAGAGGTCCTACTCGCATTACTCTAAACGCATATGTATTTCATATAGGGCAAATGTAATAGATGAGTTTATATGATGATTCACATAATGTTAATCATCATGGGAGCGGTTAACTGAAGCTGAATGTAGGTCGGTCGGGCCGCTCCATTTGCCACAGTGGCAAATTGTTGATTGACCTCGGAGTGATCGCTACGCGTGCGATATCTTATCTGCCACCCAACACTGTCAAAAGTTTGCTACATCATAAATGACACGTAACATAATATTTAACAGACTTGTTTACTGATTTTGTAAAGTCATCTTGATATAAGTATTTGAAATAGATAAACCAATAGATAGGCCAAAACCTCCTTTCTAAGGAGAATATTATGTCCAGCAGGCTGTTGATGATACAATATATTTATTTTAACTTAGGATATATATCCATAAGGAATATTTATTAGCATGCCAACGATAATGTGAAATTTATTAGGTGTTAAAAATATTAGTCTTCTTCAACATCACATCACTGAAGACTCGCGTCTCCGTCAGTCGCAGTTTCTGGGTCGTGTCGATTAATTCACTTAGCCTACTTTTATTTAGCGCTGTGACACTTTTTTATGTTTGACATACTTCATTTCATTGCTCGAATGCAGACCAGTGTGTCCGTGCTGTTCCAGCCATTTCTATAATGTTTCTGTCCCATTTCTCTTTAAATTCATTGTATCATTTTATATCAGTCTTCAACTTTTTGTACGAGTCAAATGTTCTAATTCCATTTAAGTAGTAAGATAAAAACTAATCTACTGATTACACATCGTACAATGAGTTGAGTATGTCGATTTCACTAGAAGTCCAGATCATATTCATTAGTAAACGCATTCACTGAAATGAGTCAAGCAATAACATTGTTTTTGCGACTACACGCTGCCTCGCTATAAACATTAGCATAATTAAACACAATCCTGATCTTTCACCGACCCACAAGTTAACCTTTGCATATAAAGGAGTTTAGACATAGTATCTAGAGCTTTTAAAACTTTTAGCTTGATGACTTGCAAACAATAATACAAAAACCATAACAACCGTTAGACCAGCAACTCGCTGACAAGTTTAAATGACAAAGAGGCAAAACTTTATATACTTACAAAGCTATCAACCCAACAATGTGTTAAGTCTATTGAGGAATAAAGTAAAGCTCTAAATTTAAATCATAATTTGAATAACTTGCTTTTGCGTATTGGCTGCTAAAACGTCTTCAAGTACGTTAAATCTTCCACTGAAAATTCTTTTATTTACTTGTGCAAGTGGGAATAAACCAGTCTTTTATCCGGCATCCTACATACTTAACGCTAACAAAATAAGTATCCAGTTAAGTGACGGTGTATGATTTTACTAAAAGAGACCACACTCGGATTGTGAGCGGATGCAGTGCGGTGATGAAACTGACACAGATTCTAACGCATATTTGGTAATCGAAATACAGTTCGTGAAAGTCTCGCAGGACGGTCAAATCTCGCGCATTGTAAGTGTCCCACTTCGAGTTACTCTCGACATTTTGACGGCACCGAAACCTAAAAGCCAAAAGACGCGTAATTCTTCTTTCGCCGAGTCGTCATTGTTCACGAACAACCGCCCTCGGTGCGCACGTACTTACCAATCGTACATGTATATAGTGAATATAATGTATTGTGTTCATGTCCCAGATTTGGGAAGCGAAACTACGATTGTTGATTGGTGTATTACCACGTTGCTACATTTTCGCCTTGCATTCAATTCCATGAGAAGTTGCAAGTATTGCTTATCGGCCACTAGGTCATTCGTTAGCGTATCGTATTCATTACATTTGGACTTGCACTTAAAATACTTTACCTTTCATTTGTAGTAGTTTTTTTTTAAAACTAACGTTTAAAAATAATGTGTGGTGGTCATTTTATACGCTACAATTTTTGTTTCTTATTACAAAGACCTACCTATTATAATGAATAAAAAGAGAAAAAGGCGGATATTGATGGTGTAATTAGTATACTCCACTCTCAAGATGATTGTCTCCAATGTCACTTGGTTTATGTCTTCTTATGTTACACAACTTATGTACCACCACCATACCCAAAATAACATTTGTTTCCATAATGCCCTGTTTCATTTCAAACAGATATCGACGTAGCAATAAGTCCTATACGCTACTCCAATAGTCTGCCAACGGAACGCGCTTAGTGCAATACAATGACTTGGCTTGTGATGTAATGACTTGACCAAGAAATAATACTTGATGATATATTACCGGCATTAAAAGTGTGTTATGTAGTAGTGGTATATATTTGAGTACTATCGATTGCGTGTGACCTGTATGAGAACGTGACGAGCTACTACTACTAAACTAACGGTTAATATAAGACATTATTTTTTCCGAAGGGCACGTATTTCTTGCTCAAGATGATGCCGTCTCACTAGGGTCTTCATCTGCAAGCAGGTTATGCTTGCGAAGGAGATGGCGGAGCGGGACCGGGAGAGTAACTCTCCCGGCCCGCTAGGCCCGAGAACGAGCCAGGTACCGCAGACGGCTCAGGCGCCGGAGGTCGCAGAACGACCTCCGTCCTCCATAAGCGCGCCTGAGGGTGACAGGTGAGGCGATGGCCTCGCCTGCCACCCTCAGTGACAGATGCTGTACTCTAGCAGAAGCAGGCCGGAGTAGGTGGTGACGCGACATCAACATCGCCAACCTACAGGATACGTGTTTAATCGTAACCGTAGTAGTGATTTTTTACTTGTGAAAATACTGCATATCTTCATGGAAAGATGATAAATATTTGCAGCAAGCGTTATCATTATTATACATATATTCAAACAAACGGTTATTAAATATCATTACTTATCCAATTCGGTCAAAAAAATTTTACTTAATATTACTTTTCAAAATGAAACTCCTGGAATATTAAAAGTAAAGCCATTTCCGAAACACAATAATTGTTATCATTGTGATACATGACGCGATCATCTATATTTTTTTATTTTCACTTATCTACTCCACTTGTCTAGTTTACGTCACCGTTTTATATATCGATTTTATATATTTATTCTGACCTGTTCTTGTTTCCACGGAAATAATAAGTTTTTAGATTTTAGGTAAAATAAACTTCTTTATCGCACTCTCAGTCTCGTTATTTACAGAGTACATGTTTATGACTATTATGAACGCATCTAGAAGCAACTATGTCTCTGATATAATAAAATGATAAAAGTATTTTCTATGTAAAATGTACCGTTTAAGTGTGAAAATACCCATATCCTATGTTTAGTTTATATATAGTATTTGTGTTTTCACATCGCAAACACTTCACTTCAAATGGACAATGTTGAATGTTTTTGATTCGACCCTTTCATTGGGAAACTGTTTTATACTGCAGTGTCCAGCAATTAAAATAAATTCATTTCCTGTTATATTTAATTCAGGCCCAAAGGGAATTTTTCATTTCTCGTTAATGAATAAGTAAGGAACCTTACTGCTTAAATCACATCATTACAAAAAAAAGATACATTATAGAGGCTCGTCTCTTATCCGTGGTCAGACCTTTTTGTTACATCAACCTGACTGCGGCGACCGTTTAGTCTTTGCCCAGATATAATATGTATCTATGGGTATTTACAATTTAAGGTTTACGTGGTCAGATTGTAATATAAACTGTTGCCTTTCCAATAGATAAAATTATCTTTTGTAGTATTTACATTGAATGTATTTTCAAAATATTGGAATTACACGTGAGACTTTACAGCTAGGTAATCTGACCAAGGGCACCAATCTCATATGAAGCCTGGATAGGATCAATCTGAAAGAAGACAATAAATGCTGGCCGTGGTTAGTTTATTCTAAACAATCGGTATGATCTAACAAACGAATACAGAGGAGTTCCATGACGAGTTCTATCCATTTTTTACATAAGACTGGATCAATAACGTAGATCGGCTGATATAGCACGAAAACAATTTTACTTGCGAAACTGAAGTTTCCTTTTATGTGATGTGCTTGATTTACCCATTTATGAGTGTTTTGTTTTTGGTGCAGGCTCGCGTCGGGCAGCGAGTGCGGCGGTGGAGGGTCGGGCGGCGGCGCGCCCGCTCCACAGTCGGCGCGCGTCTCTTCGAACGGCGCCGGCGGGATGGCGGTGAGCCGCGTGCCCAGCCCGTTGCATGACGGGAATACGCCTGTTGCAGAAAACTGGTGTTTTACACAGGTGCTAAGACTTTGTATCATAAGAATGCCGTATAGAAAATTGCTCATGAGACCCTGGAGAGCAATGAAGTACATACGTGATCTCGTCAGCTTCAGGAGTTTTTTACTCCTTTTTTTTACGATACAGGGGGCAAACGATCAGACCGTTCACCTGATGGAAAATGAGTACCGCTGCCCAGAGACGCCTGCAACTCAGGAAATAGTCGCATGCGCGTTGCCGGCTTCTAAAGAAGGAGTACGTTCTTATCTTGAAGGCTTACAGTTCGTATCGGTCCGGAAATACCGAGGAGTTATAGAGGAAAATCCTTCTCGTTCAATTAACCACCTTGCCCATGTTCTTTTTCGAGACAACTCATGAAAAATATTAATTAGGAATGGTAAGGTATTTGCATTGTTTTTGTTCTTTCATTTCCATGTTGACGCTGTTTGATTCCTAAAGAAATAAATTGGTATCATAATCTAAAATAGAACATTTAGTGTACCATGTATCTAAACGAACCGCTATGGTACGCCAGAATACTTTTATTTATAACGCTCTTTATTCATTTAGGAACACCCTAGGGTACTAATAAAACCAATGACTAGCCGATTCGTAGACAGAAGATCTGTATGTAATGTCAAATAATAGGTTTTTTTGTTCACACTTATGCTCACACCGTTATTTGCACGATAACTATGGCTAAAAACCAGTTTTAATATTTTTTGTCTGTTTGTCTGTCTGTTTGTTCCGGGTAATCTTCAAAACGGCTGGACCGGTTTTAATAATATTTTACTATTAAGCTGTCTATATAAGGAGTAACTTTATGTTTCCTCTCAGAAAAGCCCTATAAAATTTTGTCCGGTCAGGGAATCGAACCCGAGGCTTTAAAGACTTCAGTCGCAAATTTAACGCGAAAAAAGCGGCGGGAACCAGCTTGTTTTATAAATAAAGCTGGTTGTTACTTGTTCATATAGAGTCTGCTTCAGTTCGACGCTTGTGTTGTCAACTGCAAATATTTATAAAAAGACAATAGACTTGGGAATAAAGATTTTATTGTAGTATTAATGCCAACATAATAGTTTCGTGTAGAAAATACGGTTACTATCTGTAGAGCAAGTAAGATAAGAACTGATAGATAATTCCTGTATTATGCATATTTGCGTATTTGTTTTCTACAACACTGTTACACAGTAGGTATACAGTTATACAAGTAAAATTGTCCCTTCAGTACAGGGAATCCAGGCTGTTTTGTAATCCTTTTAATCCAATATTTTTGTCAAAAGAGGTTGACAAACCGAGATGTTACACGACTTGTAAACGAAACAAATGTTCTCGGGTCTAGTAAGTTTTTAACACCAATTAAAAAACATTTTAGAATTTGACGATTGCTCCATTCAGTTTTAATGACAATGCAAATATATTATATTAAAACATTTATCTAAAATGTTCATATTTACTATCTGCCTGCACATTTGTTTAAGTAGTGAGCAATTATCATGAGACATAAATAGGCTGTTAAATATAAATAAGTAGTCGTTAACAATCACCAGTCGACAAGTAGTAACAATACAAGTCATATGTTAGGAGGTACGAATAAGCGATAATAATTGTTTACCGAGACCGTTATCGGTGAACTTGAAATTGTTGCGTGTATATGCAGATTGTGTTAACATTTATACATATTTAAACGAACTAGGAAACAAAGTCGAGTTGTAGTCACCGTTTGAACTGTATACTCGTGCGTCACGTTGCCGAGCATCGTGTTGGTGGGCTTGTGGCACCGTGCGGCGTGCGCACCGGACCTACGTAACGTCGACATTTTACCGATATTAGAGAGAAGACGCATTTCGAAACTACACCTCCGATAAATTACCTTATAAGTTATAAACGTGCACATTGCATTAATCTACATCTTGTTAACGTCACACTCACGTTACATAAAACTTTAGTTCCCTAAGTCGATAATATTTATTAAGAAAGAACACCGATAAGAGAAATTGTTGTATTGTCAGCTATAGATATTTTTTCTTATTTTCTGCATAAACGTGTATGTAACTTTGTTGTTTTGGCGAACAACTAATACGGTTTTATTTTCCTGACGACTGATCAAGTAATTGGAACGACCGTTATATGACATAGACACTTCGATCAGTTACAACCTTTTTAGTACTTTTTACCGAAAAAATTATGTAGTTTACAATAACGGCATTTTTTGCTAAGGCGACAGACTGTATCAGATACCTTACACTTGTTAAAATCAGTGCCAAGTTTAAATCTTCAAAAATGTGTTTTGATAGTATTATATTTTAACAGTTATTATAGCTTATTGATTTTAAGCGGGCGTCGATATCGTAAAGTTAATATTTACTAGTATTGTTTTAGCTTAAATTAAACAGACAATGACATTTCCTAGACAAATTCCGTGACGCAGCTTACATGTGCACACGTGTCTGTGTTTGCGTGGGCCTCTAATACACACGTGCCTTAACGAGATAACCATATTCTTCATTACTTGGAAATGCGTCAGTAATAAACCTCGCATATTATCACCACAATTAAATTCTCTTTGAAGTACACCACACGGTGCTTATTGACTGGTAATCTATTGCACATTTTACATTGTTTTGCTATAGCTCGTAAACAAACCAACTGCCATATAAATTTCACTCATTTTATGTCTCTTTCATATCGTTGATAGTACAACTTAACATAATGGAAAATAACTCTTCTTGCTGCACGTTTAAAACTTGTCATTTTTACATACATGTAAATCTTTTCCATTATATGTTACATGAATTAAACAAAACATGTTTGAGTACTCCTAAACCTGATCTAGAATGCGATTATAAATCTTGTGTGAGCTTATAATAGCATAAGTAAAAGGTTTTTATGGAATCTGCAAACGAATGCTATCTGTGTCCGTAAATGTGCGGGGATGATGCGGCCGGCCTTGGTTCGGGTCGGCGACCGGGCGAAGACCCCAGCAGCACCGCAAGCCAAGCAACGGTCGAGGGCAACGACCAGCGGCGGCCAGGTTGCGTCCGCAATGTCGCTACTACTATTCCTCTTCACCAGGCCATGTGTCCACCTCGGCGAAGCTCAGGGCCCCCAATGCTCAGACGGTCACGTTCCATCAATACGGACCATGCTGATTATACGTAAATAAATTATATTTGCTCAGTGGCAGTGACGTTTAAAATTAAAAGACATAGGCTAGGCTACACATAAAAATACAGACTACGCAACTTAAATGTTCCATTCAAAATCTACTAGATGACTATTTAAAAATTCATAATAGATATCAATATATGTGAGCTTGACGCACGCTTCACGTACGTGATAACTAGTATTTGAGATTTTTGTTGTATTAGCAAAAAAAAAACAAGCCATTAAAATGAAAGTCGTCGAAAAAGAAGATATCGTTTATTTATTTGGCATAACGGCTATGAAAACAGCATTACAAACTGATTACAAAGGACTTGTTACTAACTGGGTGTTCAGTGATCGGTCCTGTAGGAGATTTATAGCCCCTAGCGAGGTCGCACGACCCGTCTGCTCGAGGACACCTTGTGAAAGCGTTCTGTCGATACACCGCTTTATAACTTTCCATTAGTTACACCGAAATGTAAATCTACCGAAAGTTTAACTACTGTAGTTCGCTTTAAAACTCTCTAAACATAATGATCTCATTCTTTGTAATTGATACCTATTATTTGTTGGAATATTTAGTAATGTTTCAATTTATTTTGTTTCAGGTCAAAGTGGTTAAGTTCAGTTATATGTGGACAATAAACAATTTTAGTTTTTGTAGGGAAGAAATGGGTGAAGTGTTAAAATCATCGACTTTCTCAGCAGGTGCTAGTGACAAGTTAAAATGGTGTCTCCGCGTTAATCCAAAAGGACTCGATGAAGAGAGCAAAGACTATTTATCGTTATACTTATTATTAGTGTCGTGTAATAAATCAGAAGTGCGTGCAAAGTTTAAGTTTTCAATATTAAACGCGAAACGGGAAGAAACAAAAGCGATGGAGTCACAACGAGCGTATAGATTTGTTCAAGGCAAGGATTGGGGATTCAAAAAATTTATTAGAAGGTAAGTTGTCATAGTACTAAATTATGGTAATTCATGCGCTTATGATAAATTGAACTGTATGTTTATTTACAAATCGTCGATGACACTGCATTACGTCTGTTGTTAAGTAATATTTTGAAATATTGTTGCACACATTAGAACAACGTGCATGCTTTAAATGTGAAACAGTGGGGGCGTACCCTGTTCAACTGCGAGGTGTAATAATATAACTTTATTCCCTACTACTGATACCAAGTGGGGTTTTTGAACGAGGGCTGTACGCCAAATTAACTAGACCTCTTGCTCACACATACAATCTACGTAGTGACAACTGTTTCGTAAAACTACTATGTGTAATCAAGGGTCTCGCTATATCGGAATGAACAAAAATTAGCCCCTTTGCAAATCACGCACTAGATGTTATATTCACAAATATGCATATAGTTTGTTGTAGACGTCTAATAATCAAATGAAAAGAATTTAAAATAGATTAAAATAAGTTTTTTGTTTGACAATGGGTTTCTTCCTCAAGCACTATAGTTGATGAACTTAACTCCGGGTATTGCAACTGTCTGGTTGCCCGAGTATGTGCTTCATTGAATTTATCTCTATTTTTTTGGTCAAACTATATTCACACGAAGTCGTAGAGTCAAATGAAACGAATGGCTCATTCGATTCGGAATAACGTCCAGACATTTTGATTGAGATACAGTCGAATGAGCCATCGCTCATATTTTTAGGAGCTTTATCAAGAATTAACTCGTTTTTAATTTGTTGCGTAGCCTAGTAAACAGTTGGTAACAGTAGTTAAAAATATAGATCTCTTAACTTGACGTTATAGATCCGGTGCGAATATTATGGAAATAAAAAGCCGGATCTACACAACTAATATTATTTAAAAAGTGCCTCAGTTCTCCTGTCTTTGTATTGTAAACAATTGTATTGTTCCATAAAAGCGTATTCGGGCTGCAAGGATGACTGCTGCACTGAGTTGTAATTTCAGTACGAGTAATTTTAAAAGTTTTTGAGGATAGCAAAAGTGCTGCACTATATAACAAAATACTAAAATAGATATTGAGATATAATTATGCTTCAGTGACATGTAGCTATTTATTTATACCTATAGTGTACGTTCACTGTTTTCATTTTCGTTGACATATCATAACTACACCCTAAGCCAGTCCTAACGATACCTCTTTCCCGTAACCCTCGTTCAATGTTCGTTCCTATATGCTTGTAACATCGCCACCAAAATGTCATCTTACATTATTCGTTTCTGCAAAGTTTGTAATCCTCCCAAGTGTTTCATCGCTTATAATTTATATATTGCACACTTGATCATTAATGGATCGACAATTTACAAGCACTAGAAATCGCCGTTAGACGAACTTCGAATACCTATAATTTATTAACTTTAAATGTTTTGTTTTGTATCATGTAACTTCAACTGTCACCGTAGGCTTTCTGTACCATGAAAGATCAACATACCTACATTCTTTTTTATTTACATTTGATATTAATATTCAGCCACTGTAATTTTTTGTATCTTTAATGTATAATACTTGCATTTATAACAAATCATTATTTTCTTTAATGTAAAGATTATCTAATATGTGATTATAAGAATATTAATTTTCATTCTGGACGACATTTCTCATGGCATTTTAAAAAATTGAATGTACATACATATGCGTAACTTCTTTTCTAAATTCTCTAGCACCTACACACAACTACACTAGCAATTCCATACAGAAAGCTCGCTTATTGATAAATAACGACTTCTACAATTATATAATAAAATGCAAATAAGCTTTAATAAAAATAATAAAATCAAAACTCCACATTAAAAAAACATGCATTTCGTTTGCTCGCTTAAGTGATTACGTGTCGAATCTTTACACCTGTCTTATGTATGTAGGTATGTGTACTCTAGATATGATAATGATAATATCATTTCACGTGCATTAGCAGCAGATATTATTAAATAACTCGCTATACTCTACTGATAGACAACTTTAACGAGCTGAAACATTAGGGCTTACAATAAAAATTAAGAGCTAAACATCCCTTCTGAGAAGAGCCCTCGAAATAATTGTTCTGATCTAAATCAACCATTGTGCTGTGTAAATACCATAGCTAAAGCATACTCGCCGTCTCTTGACATTTGTATGTAGGTACGAGCTTGAATATCAAAAACAGTTCATGAAAATTAGATTATTTGGTTTGGTTAAGTCAATAAACAAATAAAAAAATTATGTAATAACAACGACCGGATATAATAATGACCGTGATAATAAAGACGACCGGATGGCGTAGAGGTATGTGTAACGGACTGCTATTCCAGAGGTCGCGGGTTCGATTCCCGCTCAAGGCAAACATTTGTGTGCATGAACATTTAATGTTTGATTTGGTCTAGGTGTTTCTATGTATAATATGTATGTATTTACAAAAAAAATAATATATATGTATTTATATCAGTTGTCTAGTACCCATAGTACAAGCTCTGCTTAGTTTGGGACTAGATGGCGTTATGTGAATGTGGTAGATTATTATTATTATTATTAATATTTACGACATGGCAATATCGAACTCAATTATTACTTACAGCTTGGAAACTACTACTCGTAGCATAAATACAAATACGCCCGAAATATTTCTACCTCTGAGTTATCTTTTGAGTTGTTGATAACATACGAAAAACTTATCTTTTGCAAAGTTTTCATAATATCTGTCTCATTTCAGAGATTTCCTGCTAGACGAAGCGAATGGTTTACTACCAGAGGACAAACTAACGATATTCTGTGAGGTGTCAGTGGTTGCGGACAGTATCAACATTAGTGGTCAAAGCAATGTGGTTCAATTCAAAGTGCCCGAGTGCCGGTTGTCAGACGACCTGGGTGCCCTTTTTGACAATGAAAGGTTTTCTGATGTCACGTTAGCGGTCGGCGGAAGGGAATTTCAAGCACACAAAGCCATTTTAGCAGGTAAATATCCTACATTTGATATTAGTCTCTTTTGTTTATTGTTTGTTAAAAAATGCAGGTAAGTTTTGTATTTGGGGTGATGATTTCTGGATCGTATCTTTATTGCAGCGATGTAATTATAGCAAAAATTAAGATATATACGTATTTTATACCTCCTTAATGGCTTAAAATATTGTATGTATGAATCGTTCCTCCATCATAAAACTGCGTGCATGAAGTGGTCAACTAATTCATGAAATCGATACACTTTATCTTTGGGTACCAGTGATATGTATCAATCGTTCATATTAATTATATGTGCATACATTTAATATAGATAGCATATCTGGATAATATAGATAGAATAACAAAAACTATTTTTAATTTGTTTTTCGATTGAAAAGCATGCCGAGAGATTTGCTTACAAGTCCTGGCCATCATTTCTCTCGACTTCAAGAGACCAAACTCTTCCTCTTATTATGAGAAGTATAGCGAAAACATATGCGAACTGCCCTCCCTAAAAGAGCCATTCCAGAAGTTATAAATTTTCTGGTGTCGCTTTGACTACAATAACGCAATTAGCGGGTATAAAAAGTTATGTTGATCTGAATCTGAATTGACGCTGTTTCCCAAAGCTGCAAGCTTTTTGTCATTCCAGTTATGATAATTCATAGTATTTAAAATTTATAAAGTGTTATTTAAAAAATAGCAAAATTAATTAAACATTTTATATTTCTAGATAAAAATGAAGCACTGCAAAGAGTAGGAAAACTTGAAACAAACCCTATACTAACCTGTCTGGCCGGCGGGTAAACTAGGCCAAAACCTTATTTTTAAGGTTAGGCCTATGTATAGCAGTGAACTGTGAAGGGGCTGTTGATCTTTTTTAATGTCTGTAATTGGGAATGTTCTAAGGACAGTCTCTGTTATACATATAAATTTATTATTGGAGTATTGAGTTCTTATCTCTGTTAAGGGATAAACGCAACAGCAAAAATAAAGTCCCCACATATAAATAGTACCTAACACCTAAATAGTAGGCACCGTTAAAATACTTACGTGTGCATTAGTTGTGGTTTTAATATTATTTCATATTTCTTAACTCCTGTAAACAATGACTGTTTCACAAATACGTCACTATGGTTATTTGAAAAACAACACTTATTCTATATTTACATAAGCATCACTTTGTATTGTAGAGTTACATATTATGTGGACCCGATGATCTAAATAAAATGTTGTATTATATTACATATTAATCTGTTGTATATAAACTATGATAATTATACTAACACCATACCACTTACAATTTCTGTTAATGATTAAACTTGTTGTACATACATTGTACACATTTTAACTTATTATTTTCCCTATAGCATTATTACTATTACTTAAATACTCGTTATAAATAACGATTACCTAGTTTTATTAGATTTTACTAATATTTGGAATGACAGTGAGCCCTTAGCTCAAATATTTTTATATTCACAGGGTCTACTAAATTACTTTAAGAAATGATGATACCTTTCTGCAACAATCTATACAGTAACAAACAGAACGGTAGTTTATAAGTGGGATTATATGTGTATAACCCACAGAAGCGCCGGTAGCCTAGTGGTTAAGGCATTGGACTTGCGATCAAGAGGCGGTGGGCTCGAATCCTGACCAGTACTTCCCACTGAACCCACTTCTAACACAAGCAATTTAGCTTAGCGGGAGGGGTTAAGGGGAATACAAGTAATTTCGGTTGATAATAGACCTTATTAGAATACAACTGATAGTAGTTTTTAAGATTCATGCAAACGCACAAAATATTTGCACATATTATGTGCCGGTGCCGAACGAAGCATTGCTCTCTCACTTGATTTGAAACCCACGATATAATTTATTCATGACAATTTATAGAATGTTTCGCTTATTTCCAGCGCGGAGTCCTGTATTCGCAGCAATGTTCGAACACGAAATGGAAGAAAGAAAAAGAAATCGAGTGGACATCACAGACGTAGACCACGAGGTCTTAAGAGAAATGTTACGCTTTATCTACACGGGCAGAGCACCTAATCTAGACAAAATGGCTGATGACTTATTAGCAGCAGCTGACAAGGTAAATAAGATTTTTTAATAAATTGTATTTTCACAGGCACTTACATAACAGTTAAGTAACTATACGCAAGTGAACTATTAACTATAAACTCGCTTGCTAGCATACAACAAAAAGTATCATCTTGTCTATTTCCAAAATTTATTTTTGGGTCGACTTAGCATTCTAATATTGCAAAGAGTTCGGGCTGGGTGTTTTTAACACCTAACCTAATCGTTTTCAGATTATCAATGGGAATAAGGAATACGGATAGGGCTAGGATGTTAGCTAAAGGAGGTACTTACTGCAAGAATGATACTTCAGTAGCTCGAAGGGTCAGGGTCGCGTATATGTACCGTCCGTCCTGTGATCAGAGAGGCCACTGGGACAGGGACATGAAATGGCCTCAAGTCGGTCAACATTAATGAAGCGATTATATTAAAATATAACAAAAGGTTAACTTACGTAGGTATATCTGTATGAGTTCTTTGTTACACATATAATGAGAACCTCTGCTGTACATATAGTTTTATTTAGGTATTGGAGTGTTGTGTTCTTATCCATTTTATTAAACCATCCAAACCAGTATGGTAAACGGTTTATGAACGGTGATTAAAGTGATGACGACAATTGTAGGTAGCTTTAAGAATTTTCTTATCATAAAAGCATATGATAAGCGTTTCATTATTAATTGTGATAATACCCAAACAGGTTAGTTCTAAACGCTGTCAGTAAAAAAATGCTTTCGAATGTTTAAAGTTACTAGAAACAATACAATCGTGTAGTTAAAGTTAAAGTGACAATGTGCGAATTATCTGTGCACCTATTTGACTCAGTTCATTAAACTGACTGTTTTATTTAATCCCCCATGGTCGGCTTTAAAGTATGTGAATATTACAGACAAACTAATCAGTAAGCAGTCCGTATTATCTATCAAGTTCTTCTAATTATAGGTTTTCTCAATAAATCTATATATGTTGATTAATTATTGGGTTTATTTTTAAAATGTGTTATACACACTACTGAACTCTGATAAGCTTATCGAATGGTCGACCTAGATTCCTATTAAGCGTCATGGGAATAGGCCTTGGATAAAAGTGTATTCCCGTTATTCTATGATAAGAAAATAACGCCTGTCTATTTAAAACTAAACTTTAATGTTGCATTACATTTTAAGTCAAAATACTTAGATTATCGAAGAGACTCTTATCTTTATGAAAAAAGGAATGGAATTTAATGGAAAATGAGAGGAGGAAACTATTGCTACTTTTAAATTATATTTATTTGATGGAATGATTGGTTTCAGTCACAGCGATTTCACATGTACTTGTGATTTCGTCATGGACAAAGATAAGTGGCATTAAAATCAATCAAAATTATTTTTATCAAAGATCGAGCCTTGCGCTAGCGTAATAATAATAATTAAGTAGCATTGGTTTTGTTAATTAGTCACAGCTGTGATGAAATGATTTTTAAGTCATATGATTTATCAAATTAGGTTTTGATTTTATGCCAGCGCTGGAGAGGACCGTAAGCAGTAAAATTAGAGATATGAAAAAGTATAAGAATCTATAGGAAAAATCCCTTCTTGGTAAATCGTGTTAAAGGTTATAATTAAGTTATATTATATTATAATCTGTGCATCTCATTTCAATAAAACAAAAAAACGATTGAATAGATTTGATTTGAATTATTTTTATATATATTCATAGGTCAGTTCCTCATGTCCTCGTATCACAACATTTTTTGCCGAGAATGCCTTAATAACAGCCAAACCATTTAGAAAATATTTTTAAACAAAATGTGTTAATTAATGTTTATTTTTTCCATTCCAGTATGCGTTAGAGCGGTTAAAAGTAATGTGTGAAGAGGCGTTATGTCTAAGCTTATCGGTGGAAACTGCAGCGGACACACTCATATTGGCAGATCTACATTCGGCGGATCAACTGAAGGCGCAGACAATAGACTTCATTAACACGTTAGTTCTATTTTCTCTTAGTACCAAATTTTAACTTACTTAAGAAACTTCTTTATTTATATATTCGTCTCGAGTATTATATGCAGGAAACATAACACAAATTTAAAATTCGGACTCAAAAAATATGACGCGGTGCGTTCAGAGGGCTTTGTTTCAAAACTGTGCCGTACCTAGTTTTATCGTCAAAACTGTCGACTATGTTTACTGATATATTAATTGACACTTATGTATAATTATAATACTTGTCTCTTTTTATGCTCTTTAAGTCGCTTACTAAGTATTGACGAAAGGCTATGATTCCATTGTTGTTGATTTCTATACAACATGGGATTCAAAAAGTTCTCCACAACAGTTGGCATAGCGACACGGAAAGTAATCGTTTACTTATATTCCAGGAGCCATGCGACAGACGTGATGGACACGGCGGGGTGGAAGAACATGATCTCGTCGCATCCGCACCTCATCGCAGAGGCGTTCCGCGCGTTGGCCACGCAGCAGCAGCAGATCCCGCCCATCGGGCCGCCGCGCAAGCGCGTCAAACAGGCCTAGAAGGGCTAGGCGGCCCGGCGGCCAGGCGGCGCGGCGGCCCGACGGCCCGACGGCCCGGCGGCCCGGCGCCCGCGCCTCGATACCAAAGACGCGCCGCGCGACGGCCGGCGCGTGTGTTCGTATGTTTAGTGGATGCTATGTTTTACTAAGATTGATCTCAGGACGTTATTCGATCCTAATGTTTTTGTCCCTCGCGGTCGTTTAGTGTATCGCTTTTAATGATTACTTTTAACGTGTACGGTACGGAGCTGGACGCTTTTTGCGCGTTGATGTAGTTTTGGATGTAGGCTTCGGTTACTATTTTGTGTATGTCGTTTTTGTGAACACTACTCTTGCAGCTATGGTTGATGTAAATTATTACTATGTATAAAAGTATGAAGCTCGTGTCTCGAAACGACCTATCCATGTCATATAAATTTTATCATTATAATATTATTATTGATTGTAAAACGTTAATTGGCTAACATATAAACGGCACGATTCGTAAATATTCTTATAGACGATGTACAGGATACATAATGAATTTTAAAAAATTGAATTTTTTACGCCGCAATACAAAATATTTAAATTGAAATCTTGGTGTCTCGTGTTCCCATAGAAATTACAAACGATTAATGTTAGACATTTAAAGTAGGCCTTTTGAACATATTTTGAAGTAGTGTGGTAATTGAACGCAATAAGTTCTATGTACTATAGCTTTGTACAGAATTGTAATTGTGTGAGTTTACAATTACAAAGAAGAAGCGCTAGGACGGCTCAAGTAGCTCAATTGTGTACAAAGCTGAGTACACGTAGACGCTGTAGGGGACTCGAATGATTGTATAAGTCTATTGAAATTGTTGGTATTGTATATAGATGAGCTACGATCCCACCATTAAAATATTTCTAAGTACTAACCCTAAGTGGTATCTCACAGGTAACACAGTTTTTATTGTATCTGTAGGATGTTATTCCAATGACATATTGTGATTTTTCTATCATATTTCCATAGGTTTAAATACACAAACGCTTTTGTTCTGTTTCATGTATAGAGCAGTGGAATAATTTTATATGTATTATTGTTGTTGGTTTCGCTTCATCGATTGTACATTACTCGTCTTGTCCGAGTCGACTATGAGAGTCGCCCTTCATTTTGCTCACTACATTGTCTTCTAAAATTAGTATGATTCTAAATTACAAATTGATAAATGTTATTTATTAGTATTATTATCATTTATTTTCATGTTCAGTGACAACTTAGCAAATTTTGTAAGAAAAACTGTTTTAATTTCATTCTTGTTAAACGATGGACCTATTTATAAGTAATTATTAAAATAAACTCAATAGAAATATGTAATATACCGCGGCCAATAAATAATAATATTTAATACCATTTTATACCCACTCCCCATATACGACAGCTGACGGCTGTTATCATGTAATTGAATATTACAAAATGTCAAAAATAACTGTGATTTTCGAAATTGTCAGTAAGTTGAGCAAATAAATGAAATGATGATGACAGATTCTTTTATTTTATCCTTAGATTAACTGTATCACATGTCTATGTTGCGGCAAACTGTTCTAGACCATTAGTATAATCTAAATGAAGGGGGTTTTAAAGCCTTGGTGTAAAAGAGAAACGGCATTTATGTGTGTATAGGTATGGCAAACATATAACCTTAAAGAATATTCGAGAGTTTAAAAAATACAATATAATAGCTTTAAAATAATAGCAATATAATAGCTTTAAAGCACACGTTTAGCTGTCATCTGAAATCCGATGTCTCTGTTCTTAAAACTACTAAATAAAATTAGTACATAATTCGCCTTTAATATGGGCTTTGTATCATTAAGCAATATCTTTAGTGGGAAGGAAGCAAAGGCCCGAGAAGGAAGCAAAACTGTACGCAATTTTTTGATAAAATATCTATTTCTTAGCGTTCCATGGATTTAACGTTCGGGTGCCGGGTCCATCGCGTGATAGATGGCGACCCAGGTACAGGTTTAGCGAGTACTCTTAGCGACGCATCGGCACTCACCTCCATTGTCTGCTGTGTTACCTCCTCTAACTAACCATATTTGATACGAGCCTAGCAATGCCGCTTTGGATATTCGTTAAAGAAAAGAGCTTACTGATGCTCTTGGCAATCCAAGGTCACTTCTACGGCATAAAACGCAACGACATAACCATTTTTAGTCATGTAGGTACTTATAGTAATTTCTTCGTCTATGTACGTATCTAAGAAACAGAGCTGTAGATTGTGATTGTAGAGTGTTGTGGTCCGATTCCCAAATGGGACGACACTGTGTGTGATCCGCAAATTGTTGTTCTGAGTCTGAGTGTTCTTTGTGTCAGTTTCATCTATGTTTGTAAAGTCCCTCGCGACACAGAATATATTCCTAATGCGGGAGTCGTTTAAAAAAATAATTGAAATGAAACAAAAAGATTATAAATGCAACAAATGAATGAAGCTTTTCGGATAGAAATTTTATAAAAAATTGTGCTATTAGACTTGTTTATGTAAAACTGAAATAACAGAACTTTCATTATGCACTGACAAATTTATATCCGCGAAGAGGTATAAATTTAAATGCCTATATTTTGCGGACTATAATTATAGTCCCACTCGCGTAATAGGTAGCAAACCTGGGAGAAAAAGGAGGTATATTGGAGTTAAGGAGACGGAAAGGGCGGAAGGAGCCAGGGTTGCGTGTTTTGGATAGGGTGACTGCAGACTACAGTCCGTCTTATGATCAAAGTTTCGTTGTCATTCTGTCGTTTCGTCATAATGGTTTCCGCGTGCTAAAGCACGCTAAACACGTGCTAAATCCGAATCCGCCCATTTCGTATTTTGTACCTTGTCGTCTTGTCTCTACAAACGACCAGCTATTTAAACTCACCTCTGTGACACTGAATAAGTAGCTACGTAGATACATATGTGTGGTGACGGATTAAGAATACAGAGTGTCACCCGTGGGTCTCGTAAGAGCCGACTAAGGGAGCAAAGTCTGCAGGACAACAGCACTGCAAAAAGAAGGAAAACTTGAAACAAACCCTATACCATCCCGTCTGGCCAGCGTGGTATAGTAGGCCAAAACCTCGATTGTAAGGAGAGGCCTATGTTCGGCAATGGACTGTTGAATGATCATGATGGCCACACTGTTTGTTTTCGTGAAAGGTTTTATTAAATGATAACCTATTTTTACAAAAAAATATTTTTTAGAATAATAATAACAAAGGAACTATCCACTAACATTGAGTCTTTTACAAAATAATGGTGTCTTTTCATTAATTGTTATATAAAAAATCAGCTGTGCCCGCTACTTCGTGGACATTAAATTTGGGTTCAGGTATTATTCGGGACTTATTGTATTCGTGTCCTGGTAAATTAAGATGGCACAAATAAAACTATTCTGAATCGGATACTATCCCAAACACAAAATAATATTTAGGATTAATTAGATGGTTTAATTTTTTGTAATTTTTGAAATTTACTAGTAGGGAAGTTTGCATTAAGTGTTAGATTTTACCCTGCAACTTAAAAGTAGGCATGAATGACCCTTCTAGAATAAGCTTTGCGTGTCACTGACATTTTTTTTTTTTCGTGCGGAAATCCCCTCGGATACCACCTATCGGTGGCATGTCGGACTCGAACCGACTAAAACCGCACGCCGTCTCGGGTACTAATAGCCGGGGAACCAGGATATACCCTAGAAAGACGTGTCACTGACACTGGCTTGGCCACCATCATGGATTTTAATTTTGTTGCTAATTTGTCGCCAAATATCAGAACATGTCGGTCACTAGTTCAAAAGTTATAAGCGTTTATAGGGGGCTCTGCTGGGGTCAGTCTCCCTAGAAGGACCACGTTTATATCTCAAAAAGTAGAGCACCTAGCGAAGGTCTGTTTTTTCCCAAATTTAGTGGCTACTTAATCAAAATTTATCGCTAATTCACAGATTTAGTCGGGTCTTAGTTTAGGAGATATAATGAGCTCAATTTTTAAGGTCGGTATACTTAGTCTAAGAGGTAGATCGCAGAGTTTACGAAAAATTATATTATTATGTATGTGTTTGAAATCCTTAGAAAAGTCAGGGAATTCTTATTTAAATACATGTTTTAAATTACTACGTTAGAGTATATCAATTTATTTATAATATAAAAATAATGGAAACAACAAAATACACAAACCAAAACTACAAATTATAATGTTAAGCTCTAATTTACATTAGAATAATAAAACTTTTGTTGCCGAAATAAGAGTAGATGTACAAATACGTTAAAAATATCCATACCCTTTAGTAAAAATTTCAAAATATTGTAAGTATATAAGTATCAATCCATTGCTTGAAATATATTACAATACATTATAAAAAAAACAACCTACCCTTATCTAATCCTAAATCAGAGATAAAATTTCTAAATACCTAATAATATTATGAGCATTTGGCTTTTATGGTGAGAATAATAAAACTTGTTTTTGATGATGATTAATTACTTTAAAATTATTGTACTTAAACTAAAATGTTAAAATTACCTACTTAATGAAAGGTACCTGGATACCTATCAGGTACAAATTATATGTCTCAATATAAATTAAGTACATTAATGGACGACCCTGCCCGAATGAAATCGATGCCAATCGATAGTAATCGATATCTACTTGACGATACTTCATTTAGCGACCCGCTCTCAAGAATAAACTTATCCCGTTTTTGCAAAAATTTTCATTGGTTCTCTGTTCCTATAGGCCGAAAACTAAAACAAATTGTAGTAGACCGAATTGTGAATCGAAACCATTCTAGAATCCACTTGAAAATACACAAAATATTTCATCAAAATCGGTCCAGCCGTTTAGAAGGAGTTACAGTCACAAATAGACCCACAGAAGAATTATATATATATAAAGATAATTTGAGATATTGTTATTCTATTCTAATTAGGAAAAACATATTATTTGTAAATTTTAAGTTTTACTTGGTCCTCACCATTTTATTCATTATTATTTTAAGTTTTATTACTAGCTAAACTATATAAATAAATAATAATAAATGGGTGGGCATTTTATTTTCCATTCGGCCACCGAGCGCTCAAGATCGGTGTCGGTAAGTTTACGATAATTTTTACCTATTAGGTAAATCATATTTTCTTAACACGGTAACGGAAGTTTTTATTGTAACGTAAATTAGTCTCAAGTCTAACATTATATTTTTTTAAACCAGGTAAAAAAAAATGCAACTGTGCATATTGACACCAAGAGCAAGGTTTAAATTATTTTACTTAAAAAACAAAATTATTCTACTTCATCAACAGCCTATACTAGTCCACTGCTGGACATAGGCCTCTTCTTAGAAAGGAGGTTTAATTATTCTACTTAAACTTTACTTACTAATAAATTATTTTTTACTTGGCAATTTTTCGTAAACTATTCAATCCAGCTCTTAGGCTATACTCATATTAAAAATTGTAATATCTTCTAAACTAAGACCCGAGTAAATCTATAACGAAAAAAATGTGCGAAATATTGCGAATACTTAAAGACTTAATTTCGGAAAAAACAGCTCTTTGCTAGTTTGGCTATAAAGCAGCAGGGCCATCTATAAAGGCTTATAAATTTTGAACCAGAGACAGAGACAAATTCTAATGTTTGGCGACAAATTTCGACTAGTTAGCGATTACACTTAGGTGAAAACAGTTCTTCGTTAGGTGCTTTAGTTTTTGAGATATAAACGTGTCTTAGCTTCGGAGATTGTCCCTAGGTGTAGGCTACCTAACTTTTTAAACAGTGACCGACATGTTCTGATATTTAAAGACTCATTTTGACAAATTAGCAACTAAATTTGATAGAAAACCGATCTTCAGGTGCCCTAGTACTTGACATATACGCGTGGTCAAGCTATTTCTGATATTCGGCGACAAAATTTTTGTACCATCAAAATTAAAATCCATGATGGTGGTCCAGCTAGTGTCAGTGACATGGTGACAAAAGTCACTCGTGCGCGCACTCGCTATTGCCTGTACATGCGTGCCGAGGCTTTTTTTATTTGACTAGGACTGTAACTTGTAGTTTTATTAGGGGTTAAAGTATGAAATTGCCGATTTGTACTGAAAAATTGAAAATTAGTTTTCTTCTAATGTGTAACATATTTATTTAATCAAAATATTTGCCCTTATTATCTATACATTGCTGCTATCTAAATTGAAGTTCATTTATGCCTTTATGATAGAACTATGGGGATTTATATTCGACAAACTGTGTGAAAGCATTTAGAGGCGTAGCTAGATAACCAGAGGGCCTGGTGCAAAAAAAACTTGGGGCCCATACTCTCATTTTTTCAATTTTAAATAGAATTCCAACGGTACTTTTTATAAAATTAAATTAAAAACAGTGATTTCTCATAAGCCTCAACATTAAATGCTAAAAAATTCTAAGCTCCATATCTTTTACTGGTTGTCTGTAGCTTTTTTTTAAATTTAACGAGATCATTATCTTATCATTATTTACTAATATGCCATTTTTTTTTAATTTAAACGGTAACTCTTTGACCGGCAGTACAACTTAAAGTCGTGTTACAACTTTTTATTTATATTCCTAAGGTGGCAGAATTTTAAGTTAATTCAATATGAGGTTTGCTGGTCAGGGTCCGAGGACCCCCAAAGTTTGGGGGCTCCGGGGCACAGCACCGTCTAGTCCTTCGGTAGCTACGCCAGTGAAAGCAATTTGTACTGCCTCCTAGCCTGAATTTTATTATCCTGTAGAAAATTGTCCAAATCACGAAAAAAATTGTAGTCCATTGGAGCAAGGTCTGGCGAATACGAAGGATGACGTAATGTTTCTAACTGCAGCTTCTGTAGAGTTACAACATTTTTCCTGCTGTGTGAGGTCTTGGGTTATCGTCGAGGCTGTTTCACTGCCAATTTCACCACCATTCGAAGTTCGGCACAGTGAATATCTGTTGTTATTGCCTGACCAGACCTGAGAAAGCTATAGTGAATAACACCATGAAGAGACCACCAAACAGTTACCATTACCCTTTTGTTGCGGCACAGTTGCGGCGTTTAACCTGGGGTCAGCCATTGCATTTTTCGCTTACGGATATCGTAAACAATCCACTTTTCGTCACGTGAATTCGGTCCAATATTCCTTCATTTCTGTACCGATTCAACAAGGCAACACAAGTCTCAACACATTTGTTTCTACAGATCAGTCAAATCATAAAGCACAAACTTTTCATATTTTTTTTATCTTATTGATTTGATGCAAATGGGTCAATATTATAGGGTAACGTTAAACCATGCCACTAATTCCTTGGTAGTTTGAGTCGGATCGTCTTCTACCATCTCCTTCATTTCAGCGTTATCCACTTGTGTGGGTGGTCTTCAACCTGGTTCGTTCTTTAAATTGAAATTTCCATTACGAAAGCGTTAAAGCATTACGAAAGCGTTAAAACCAAAAACGTTTTTAAAAACAGACAATTAAAAGACGAAAATCGAATGTTTCACCTTTTTAAAAGAAGAACCTATAGGTATCATGTGAAAAAAGTTTTTTCATGTCCATGAAGATTTTATGTCAATTCAAAACATCTATCTATTTACGATTAACGACAATTTCATACTTTAACTTCTATTATAACTGTACTCTGTGTAGTAGTTTATATAACTTTAAAACTGCAACACTAACACTACTACTACTACAAAGTTTGGCTTAAAGGTCTTGTTACCAAGCCATAAAAAAAAAAAAAAACTACAAAGTGACTTTAAGTGACGGCCTGCAGAAAACCCGCTTATTTGTAAATAGTAAGGACTTAGGTTATCAACATTATTTAATGGGCATTATTTTTAAAGAAAGTTTCTTGCCAATAAATAAATTAAGCTATTTAATTAATAAAAGATATATTTTAATATGGCTAGTGGAGGCTTTCGTATACGGTTCACCCCTCAAGCTAGCGGTATGAATCTATCAAAAGTTTCTAATTTAAATTATTATGTTAGTAATAAAGTTGCCGTTCTCCATTTCTTTGTTAAAAAAAATATAAATTCAATTATCTTGTTTATTAATGTTTAAAATAAAGGAGCATTTTTTATGGTACAGGGAGCAAACGAGCAGCCGGGTCACCTGACGGTAAGTAACAACTGCCGCCCATAGACACCTGCACCAGAAGAGTTACAAGAGCGTTGCCCCCCTTTCAGTTTCTCCCCGTAGAATCAGGTAGAGGGGGAAGGTTTGGACTCTGGTGACTTCACTCACTCTGTGAAAACAACGAAAGAACTGCTTAACACCGGTTTTCTGTGAGACTGCGGTATCACTCTGGTTGAGTATAGCCCATATGTGCCGAAACATGACTCCTAGGAGTAAATAAACGATATTTATCATCATCATCTTCAACAGCCTTTAATAGTCCACTGCTGGATGTAGGCCTCTCCTTCGAAAGGAGGTTTTAGCCTACTATACCACGCTGGCCAGAAGGGTTGGGATAGGGTTTGTATCAAGTTTTCCTCCTTTTTGCAGTGCTGTTGTCCTGCATAGTTTGCTCCCTTAGTCGGCTCTAACAACACCCACGGGATGAATAGTGGTGGTGACATTCCATATTCTTACTCCGCCACCATACAGATATTTGTCAAGTAATAAATTAATAATAATAAGAAGAAGCCTCACACATCTCACACACAGTCATCTGATCCCAAACTAAGCAGAGCCTGTACAATGGTAACCAGACTGCTGATAAACACACATATATTATTAAATACATACATGTTATAGATAAGTTACAACCAGAAACAGAACAAATGATTTGCGCTCATCACACAATTGAAAGAAACTTACACTCTTACACTGGCATGATATTTTTGGTTTGAGTTGAAATTAAAAGAAAAGTATGTAATGCACATAGCTTACAGTATCAGAAATTCATAGCTCCTTGTAAGTTGGCTAAGAAGTGTGTGCCATTCTTAGTCAAGAGTCAAATTAAAGAGCTTTCTCTTGTCACCAAATACTTTAATGTTCATTGCAATGCTTCAATTTCAGCCAATAATGGGGAAACTGAATCTCCATCAAGACGCACTACAAGAATCCGAACTAAACCAAAGAAGTATGGTGATTTTTTAGATCTATCACCAACAAAGCAAAGGTCTTATAAAGAAATTCTTAGCTCAGATGAAGAGGAGCCTGAAAATAATGAGGAATCTCACTTACAAAAGCCTACAGGTGTGTATTTATTAATTTTTTTAGATAAATTATACATTATTTGTAAGCCAGAACGCCAATTATCGTAATAAAAGTTCAGTCACAATTCCGCTCCGATCAACTTTCTATCGCACAACTATCATAAAAGGTATTTTCGTAGTAAATAGTAAAGTACTACCATTACGATTCAATTTTCGGTTACAATACGATATAATAACATTACAGTCAACATTATATGTTTAATACTTTACTATGAAAATACCTTTTATGACAGTTGTAAGATCCAAATTTGAACGGAACTGAATTGAGACCGAATTTTTATTACGAGAATTTACCTTCAGGTTTTTACAGAAATTATAAAACATAAAATGTACAGCAAAAATAATGTACTTACAATGGTCAGCCTTATTGCTTAGCGCACTCCCTTTCAGGCAACCTTTGGCTGCACTGAAATGGTGGTATATACAAATTGAGGCAATAGATAAGGTCTAAATCTTTAAAATATGTACTAATCATACACAAACATTACTACTCTATAAATCCATCAAAATACTATACATACGTACAAAATAAATATAGCAAATACATAAAATATCTATGAATGGTATGCTTGTTAGTAAAATGTAGCTGCTTTAATTTTTTTTTTTTATACCCATTCTGTTTTTAAACAAAGCACAATGAAAATAAAATAATTCTCATTTTAAACTAGAATGTAATACAAAATAGAACTCAAATAACAAAGATTCAAGATATATTAGCTTATCTAGAAGCTAATATATCTTGAATCAAAAAAGTTTAAAAACTAAAAAGGGAAACAAATTTTTTTGTTTCTTTTTAAATTTCTTAAAATATTATTTACTTAGTTATACAGAGGCATATTAAAACACCTGCTTCTTGCCAGCTAGGTAAAAATTTATGTCCAAATTTATCTAAAGGTCTGTGATAACTGTTTGAATTTTCAAGCTATTTTATGATGCTACTATTATGCTGAAAGATTCTAATAGAGAGATCATCTTATGTAAGGTGTGTATATCATCATATACTAGATTGCTAATTATAGAATCAGGATATAAATAAGAAATTTTAATAGCAAGGTAGTTTAGGACTCAGACTGCCTTGTTTTTATGAAACTGTGCAAGCACTTTGCTGCATCACCTGGGTTGTACACTTACCTTGAAACATTCAAAGTTTTCTATTTAAATGTTATAGCTCTATTTACCGAAGATGATGTGGAAGGTCAAGATATGTTCAAGTTCAAGTCTCGTCATACAAAGCATGATCTACAGAACAAGGTATTGGCGACTATCAGTAATTCACCAAAACCCATAGACTCTCCTATGAAGACACCAAGAAAACTTCACTCGGCTACTAACAGTCCATTATTTAAAGTGACAGAAGCAACACCCAGACAAGTTAAAGAAATTATTAAAAAAAGTGAGTATTCCTGATTTAGATTTTTGTTAAGAGTTAAGATCTATTTTTACTATTAATTCTGCATTATAACATAAGTTTCCGTCCGTCGGAAAAAAGGTTCGTGTGGTGACGGATTAAGAATATGCAGTGTCACTACACCTATTCCTCCCATGGGTGTCGTAAGAGCCTACAGTAGGGAGCAAAGTACGTGGGACAACAGCACTGCAAAGAGAAGAAAAACTTGAAACAAAACTATACCAACCCGTCTAGCCAGTATAGTATACCAAAACCTCCTTTCTAAGGAGAGGGCCATGTCCAACAGTGGACTACTAAAAGCTGTTGATGATGATGATAACATAAGATTTACAATAACACGTATTGTTCAATTCAGACAGGAAGTGCTATTGTGATCATGTAGATCGAACCCCCTGTTTATCTTAACTACTAACTGTAAACATCTGTGAAAATCAGTTGCTTCTATAATTTTAAAGAACATTTACGACATCTTGCGTCACAGCTATGATATCTGAAACTAAAAATTTGTAGTAGTGTAGTACCGGTGTGGCAACTTCCACATACAATAAAACAAAACATACTACAACGCCATCTAACGAAGACACCGAAATACGAAGAACTGCTTATCATGAACTGCGATATGTAAAATTCATACGCCGATTAGCATATATACAACTTTACACCATCAACTGTTGGGCTGTGGTAAGCCAGGCATTATTACCTCACCTGCTCGGAGGAACGTGGCGCCAGTTTTTCCATCATATATATAAAATTCTCGTGTCACAATGTTCGTTCCCGTACTCCTCCGAAACGGCTTGACCGATTCTCATGAAATTTTGTGTGCACATCGGGTAGGTCTGAGAATCGGCCAACATCTTTTTTTCATACCCCTAAATGGTAAGGGTGACCCATCCCTAATTTTTTTTTGCTTTGCAATACAACGTTTGCCGGGTCAGCTAGTAGTTATATATGTATATAGAGTAAACTTCCATTTACTTTAATAGATAGATTTTCTTTTTATTATCGATCTGTTAATGGATAAAATTTGAAAGCAAATTAATTTAATAAGAAAACAAAGTACAAACTATTCCTATTACAGCATACGATTGGTGCAATTAATATCTCCCTCATAGTATTAGATTTATTTTAGATCGAGTATATTCTCTCCGAACGAACAGCTCTAAAGGCAATGGGTGTAAATGCTCAGGGTTTTAATATCTAAGGTTGTATTTATTGTTTTTTATAACTTCAAAGCTTGTTAATATGACTTTTCTTAGGCCAGACTTTCTTAAAAGCTGAAATTCAGAAACCTAAAGTATGTCATACCACATCATGAGTCAGCAGCAATAACATCTTTCTGAAAACTTCTCAGAAGTCAGGGTCAGGCACATATTGGAACGAAGTTTCTTATCGCGCGTTACACGCTCTTAGCGGATGGGTGCGAGACCGAAAAATGTGTAACAAGACTTTTTTCCAACACTTCAGTTGGCGCGTCGACGCTCACATCTTTTTTACATTTTATATATAGCAAAAGCCTATCAAAAAGTAAAAGAAACTTCGTTCCGACCGGGGGTCCCTTGTTTTTACTAAAATATTTTGCAGGAATAATACATGAAGTGGAGTCGGATAGTGCAGAGAGTGACTTCTCAGGCAGTAGCACCGAGTTTGTACCAGATGGCAGTGAAAATGAGGTATTGATTATTAGAAACTTATTTTAAGAATGGCGGATGATTTTCATACATAGTATGCCTGGGCCAGATTCGACCGGAGTGATGAACACTGCCTCGCAAAAAACGGTGTTAAGCAGTTCTTTCGTTTTTGTTTACTGGATGGGTGGAGTGAGGTTACTCTGAGTCGGACTTAAACGGCGTTTATTCACTTGTGACTCTTGAGTTGTAGATGTCCATGGGCGGCGGTGGTCACTTTCCATCAGGTGACCCGTCTGCTCGTTTGCAAAAAAAATACTGACTGGCCTGTTGGTCTAGTGGTTAGTGACCTTGACTGCTACGCCAAAGGTCGTGGGTTCGATTCCCACCCAGGACAAATAATTGTGTGATGAGCACGGTCATTTGTACTGTGTCTGGGTGTACTTTGTCTGTAATATGTATGTATTTAGAAGGATGTTTATCAGGAGTCTGGTTACCATTTTAACGTGTGGAAATGCCCTCGAGCCTTCACCCCACCGGGATTTCCGGCGGGATTGTGTGTCGGAATCGCACCGACTAAGAAAGATCCGGGGACTGCTGTTATTAGGACGTCTGGACCAGTAGTCTAGTTACCATAGTACAGGCTCTGCCTAGTTTGGAATCAGACGGCCGTGTTTCACACACTTCTTGCAAGTGTAAATATATATAATAATTATTATAAATGGATTAACGCCGGTAGTAAAATAGATCGGTCAAACGTCCAACTACACCAAATTCAGTCGGTTCCTTAGTCACACGCTGTCGTCACTTAAACCTTCTTGATCCTTTACGTATTCTATGCATAATATCGCACGAGATCAGCCCCGGATCTACGATTTTTTCTAACCGAGGCAGAAACGTAGAGATTTTACATAAATAGAAAAAAAAAACACAGATAATGTTACAAATATCACCTTCACTATATACACGAGTATCATAATAAAGTGCTTTATATTTTAAATTCCAAATAAATATGCTAAGATTAAGTTTTTTAGTCTGTTTGTTCGTTATATGTACATATTTTTATTTGGTTATAGACTGACATGTCAAGCTCAGCAGCATCATCGGATGAGGAAGAAGAACAACCAAAGAAAGCAGTTGGTAGAGTTGTGCGAGGTCAAGATAATAAATCAAAAGTCAAAGACTCGGAATATTTTCTCACACCCGATAGTTATTTTATGATGAATTCCAGTAAAAAGGTTAGTATGATTACGCTAGAAGTCTGGAACTCCTGGCAATTGCCAGTTTACAGTTACTCTGACCTACACGCGATATTGCTCTAATTAAAAAATCATTATCCCTTGCCTTCCATTATAATCGTTGGCTGACCAAATAAATAAATAAAATATCTTTTCTGTCGTTAGATGCGAGAAGCTGATAAGCGATCGAAGTAGCGTACATTGGGAGAGGTATATGTCCAGCAGTGGACTGCGATAGGCTGATGATGATGATTATTATCTATATTTCGATATTCCAATTTTTCGAATTTCTTTGTATTGACTTTCATCATTTATGCGTATTCATTCGTTGAGAACATCCCCCATGTTCTCAACGAATGAATACGCATAAATTCAGGGTTTTAAGATACATTTCATAAGTTGTTGCGACACTAGTTTTTTTAATATGGAAAGTTCTTTTTTTGTTAGAATTTGTGTTCAAAGAAAAACTATTTAAAAATATTTCTCCAGGCACTAAAAAATTACTCTAAAAAAGAAAGTCAGAAAATTTTACTAAACTTGGAGAATACATGCTTTTACCGGTAAAAACTCGAGGATACAACATGAGCATTAAACTCCACTTCCTCCATAGTCAACTAGACAGGTTTCCAGAAAAATTTAGAAGATATGATCGAAGAGCAGGTAGAGCAGGTAGATCAAAATTTACGCACTATAGAGGAGTGTTATTAGGGTTTCTGGGATAGGAATATGATGTCTGATTATTACTGGTGCCTTATACGCTATTTCCCTAAGTCCACACATAAGATAAGAGCTTTAAAGCGAAGTTTCTCGGAACTCAATTATTGAAAAAATAAAAACTAGTAAATGCTTGTAATTTGCTTTTTTGACCGTAGCCATCCGCAACTCATAAACTAGAGCTGATAATACTAACTAAATAGAATGCTATATATAGTCGGCAACAGCAAACATTTTATCGGCAACAGATGCCGTCCAAAAAAGGAAGCTTGTGATTTCATATTCCTTGCATATTTCATGAATTCTAAAAATCAATATTTAATGATAATTGTTATCATTTATGTTGCCGTGGCTCCTCAGAGAATTCTACGGGGTTTCCAGTAATGTCAACTATTGTTTATTACAGATCACAACTTCAGATCACACATTGGCCAGACTTAAGAACCTAGATCTGCACGAAAATGAGTTATCAGAAATTCTGATATCAGCCGAACACAAGAACAGTATTAATGAACTCAATCAAACGTACACCGAACTTTTTAATAAGTGGCTTTTTGTTCTAAGCGAAAATTTTAACATAGTTCTATATGGCATTGGCTCTAAACGTTCAGTGCTTCAACAGTTTCAAAAACAAAAACTCAAAGACTTTCCCTGCATTGTGGTAAATGGATTCTTCCCTAGTTTAACAGTCAAGAGTATTCTAGAAACAATAGTTGTAGATCTTCTGGAGAATAGTAATGTACCGTCTAATTTGGGGGACATCGTCAATTTAATTGATACCCAGTTGACGGAAAACGGCGTGGATTTGTTTCTAATAATCCATAATATTGATGGAACTATGCTGCGGAATGCGAAAGCTCAATCTACGCTGGCTAGTTTATCCCAAATAAAGAATGTTCATACAATTGCTACTATTGACCACATTAATGCACCGTTATGTAAGTACATTATTCCCTTTACTCAATATGTTTTTTTCCCTTTACTATAATATAATATACCATACTAATATTATAAATGCGAAAGTGTGTCTGTCTGTCTGTTACATCTTCATGCTTAAACCGCTGAACCGATTTAGGTGATAATTTTTTATAGAGATAGTTTGAGTCCCGGGAAAGGACATGGTATAGCTTTTATCCCAGAAAACAATGCTTTAAGGGGGTAAAAAGAGGTGTGGATGTTTGTATGGGGAATCAATAACCGCTGAACCTATCTAGATGAAATTTGATATGGGGATAGTTTGATTTTGAGGAAGGACATAGGTTTTTTACCGTCGTACACATTCAATCGAAATACACACGGGCGGAGCCGCGGGCAAAGCTAGTTCTATAACACTAACTAACTGAATAATGTTACAAGTTCTTTGATGGTGAGCCCAGGTGAACTACCCCTTTTACTTTTTAGTTAATTCGTGAATGATCAAGTTAACCAATTAAGGGTATTAGGGTGCCGGCACCTCGTGATGTAATTTGATCATTTCCAATTTCATTGTGTCAACATGTAAGTTCAAAATCTGTTTGTGTGTTATCTGTTTTTTTTTTATGTTGACGGGGTGGAAAATCCCTTCGGATCTCCTGCTCCTCGAGGACTCAGGAGCCAGGAGTATGTGGTGATTCCACTAAAAACCACCCCGATGGCCGGCCTTAGGTGTCCTACTCTGGGGAGGACCCGGACCATGTTATTTCAGGTCCTCCCCGAATTGACACCTTGCCTAATCAGGCCCTATCCCAGGAGAGAACACTTCCTTTCCTTCAATCGCGGCATGGCGGCCCGATCGCATCTTAATGCAATCATCAGGCCGGCCATTCCATCCCCTACCGCAGCAATCAATCTGCCACCAGAGGTCCCCACTCTCTGGCGGCCCGCGGCCCCGTCGACGGCTGATATCAGGTTCAGCGGTCTCTTTCTGGAGCATTACAGCTTCACAGAATGTGTGGACACCCTAGAAAAAAATGCGTTCCCTGCCGAAATCAGGATGTCCACAAACCGCCTTGCATTCAAGACCTAGTGCGCGATCTTCTTCGTAGTGAATTGGCAGAACAGTCACAACGCTAATACCCGACTGAGTATTTGATAATTTGTGATAATTTTTCCACCTGCCTATATACCTATTTCTATATCATCTCAAGATTGACTAGGAGAGAATACCCCATTGCATTAAGTTTCAAATAAATAAATGAGGTTAAGGCTCTAAAGGAAAATAATAAGGGCGGCGCTGTCAATAAGACAGCAACTCAAATCGTATGAAACTGTGATGTAAGAATTCGTATTTTAATAAGTTGTATCTACAAACAATTCTGTGGCTCTATAGTTTTAAAACTTGATTATTCAGAGTAAAGTAGGACTGGCAATGTATTAGTAATTGCGAATGTTTAATGGTACTGGTAAACGCATTATCTGAAAGCCACGTGTTTGTATGTACGTCGTCATGGGAGTCAATAAAAATATGTCTTTGGCACTGTAAATGTAACAGTATTTTACTGCAAAATACTTCTGAATTATTTTGTGTTATTTCAGTATGGGATCACACAAAACTGAGTAAATTTAAGTTCACATGGTGGGATGTAACGACGTTCGTACCGTATGTAGAAGAGACCTCCTTCGAGAACTCGTTGATGACTCACCGCAGTGGCGCCCTCCAACTGTCCTCACTCAAGAGCGTGTTTCAGTCCCTCACGACCAATGCTAAAGGAATTTTCAAAGTTATCATTGAGCACCAGTTGGAAAATCAGAAGCAACATTATCAAGGTATGTGTTCACCTTTACTATATATTATAATTTTTACTGGACTGCTGCGTGCTCCGAACGGTAAAACGTAATAGACATTTCTATTTTTTTTCATGACTTATAGTTTCTTTAGCAAAGAAAAACAGCCTTTAACCAATTAGAGGGCGAAGTGATGGTCGGAGTCACCATAGCTGAATAGTCTATCAGTCTAAAAAATGTATTAATAAAGTTACTAATTACCCGCGGATTTTATTACTACTCCGTTCCTAGGGGTTGCATGATTTCGAAGAGTATTATAACTTTCCTCAGTAATTTTTGTCCAAAACATAAAGACTTCAAATCCGACTAGAGATGACCTCAAACATTTAAACAAAAAACTCTAAGTTCATTGTATAAAGTATTATTATTTAAAAGTAAACTTTATACCAGCAAGGACAAAGGCCAGCACAGGCTGATGATAATGATGAAACCTAATACATAGTATATGGTCAAATAAAGATTTGTAGGCGAGCTAATTGTAAGAAAACAGATTCGTTTTTACAAATGATTGTAATGTCTCACGGCGTTAAGATACAATCATCAACATCCTTTACTAGTCCAGATTCAACATCTAAAACCACCTGAAAACCACTAACGAAAAATGACTACTCTAATAGGCACTTAATTTTCCACTAAACGTAATTTAATTAATTACGAAACAAAACCATAAGTATATTAATAATTAGTTTCCAAATTTCCTCGGTTCCAAATTAATACGATTCTTTGGTACAGATTTGTTTTACAACGTTAATAGAAATTTCATATTTGTTGCATCATTCTCATTTAAACTTCAAACCACAGCTTTTTCTGTGTGCGTTACCCCAGCAAAATAATGTCGAAAATGGTCATTTAAACTTTATAGATAATTAGTTGCTCCCCTTCTGTAATTGTTAGGCACATTTTTAAATATGTTTCACTTAAACTTTTTTAGTTATTTCAAAAAAACATTTCCTGCTGGGGTAACGTTTGAAACGTTACCGCAGCCAGACATTTTCTTTTTTAATTGTAATATTGAAATAAATTTTAGCTAGATAATTAGTTATCTGGACTAGGTAAATGTTACAACTTATTTGGTATTTGTATTTTCTTCGGCTGCGAAGTTATTCGAAATCCTGCTGGAGTAACGTTTGTGGGTTTGCTGGATCTCTGAAACGGGTAAGCGGATTGTAACCATCTTTTGTACATAACTTCTTAAGGGTGAGTTTCAATTTGTTCGACAATAAAATAACAAAAATAATGGACCGTTTAAAAATTATTTGGGTAAGTATGAAAACACTTCAATACGTCCTAACACTTTAAATAAGACCTCTAAAGACTTACTTCAAACGTTATTCTATTGCTCGTAACTACCTTCAAATGTATACGAATTTTCTTAAGAATACTGTAAGTGACTAAAAAGTTATGATGAAATATAGCTCTCCACGTTCACGATCACAATGTGTGCGGCCTTTTTTGGCCACCGATAAACCTGTGTGTGGATATATAAACTGAATGTTATGCCAATAATTAGTTCTTTAGTTCAGTTGTCTACCTGTAAAATTTCAGCGTAGTACATATAATAATTTACGAGATAATTAAATAAAAGTCATTAGAAGGTGCAAGACCGTGGTAACCCGACCATGTTTAGGTGGTTACAAAAAAGCGATCACCCAGTACATTGTGCTGGCTTCTAAAATATGTAGGATATTATTTGCAAGTTTACTACGGATATGTACATAAGTGTTACAAAAAACTACATGTTTTTTAAATAATTTTTATTTAGGTTTGTTTATTGCATAATTAGTAATCAGCCGGGAGATTAGGTATTGTTTTGAATGTTTTTGTTTTCTCGTAATGTTTAGGTAAATTGTTTATAGTTGTTCATAGAATTGGTACCTGCGTAGTATTTGTTAATTGAAGTTTAATTTTAGGGTAGGTATAGGTAATTTAAGTTTTGAAGAGTGTAACGTATGCGTTGTAAATAGGTATTTTGTGAATAGATAGGGATTTTTTTAAGTGATAAATCGACTTAAGCTAGCATATCGCGAACAAACTCTGTATTGCATTATTTCTGTAATAATGTTGGAGAAAATAAAATATTTGATCACAAAATCGCGGTGAGTTAAATTATAATAAAATAAATTATTTATGTAAAATTAGTAATAAGTGATATACCTACCTACAAGTTATGATCGTTTTTAATTTGTTCACCCTGAACGAAATTTCAATATTAGCATTAGTAATTAATATCCTAAGACAAGAATTGACAATTACTTAAATTGAATCGAATTAGCATTAATGCCCATTATTAGTAATTAGGTACACACATATTGAAGAACTCTCAAGAATACGATAAATATTTGCAAAAATAGAAAGCGGAAGCGCACACGTACTTTACAACACGTATATTATCTGCCTAAGGGTGACCAATAATTTTATCTTTAAAAATGTATCACTTTCACTCGATAAATTAAATTACCGTTATTATATCAAAATATCATTCAACAACTGTTCGTTTTTAACAGAAATCAACAGTCACGGGCTCAACGCTTAACGGTAGGTGCATAGGTATAGATAATTCTCCGTTCTCGGTATAGACCACAGAACAATATTACCTACTCTTACGAGGTATACGACTCTTGGGCGATGCAATGTTGATGCATTCTAATTTACAACTGTATTCTTCTACTATTCGGTCTATTTTAACTTATTGTAGATGACTTGTTGCTATAAATATTTTGATGCATTCAAGTCTAAGCTCTATACACCCCAAAATAAAATACAATTACTTTAGTGTTATTTCTTTACAAAAAAAAATCAAAGATATGAAACGATTTCTTATTGGTTTAAATTTTCGATTTATTGCAGTCAGGTGAATCGTTCATACATGTATCTACATATTTATAATTTTAGCGGACCAGTGCAGATTTTCTGTTGATTGTAGCTCCGGTAGTATAAAAGACTAAAGAAATTTTAAGTAAAGAAACTAGTGCTTAAGATCAATTAGGGGGGAAAAAAAATAGGTAATAATAATGAATAAATATTGAATGTATTTAACACTGTACGCAACTGTACCGAAATCGTAAGGTGTATTACACTAAACATTTTAAAAGACAGCGCAATGTACTGGGTGATCGCTTTTTTGTAACCACCTAAACATGGTCGGGTTACCACGGTCTTGCACCTTCTAATGACTTTTATTTAATTATCTCGTAAATTATTATATGTACTACGCTGAAATTTTACAGGTAGACAACTGAACTAAAGAACTAATTATTGGCATAACATTCAGTTTATATATCCACACACAGGTTTATCGGTGGCCAAAAAAGGCCGCACACATTGTGATCGTGAACGTGGAGAGCTATATTTCATCATAACTTTTTAGTCACTTACAGTATTCTTAAGAAAATTCGTATACATTTGAAGGTAGTTACGAGCAATAGAATAACGTTTGAAGTAAGTCTTTAGAGGTCTTATTTAAAGTGTTAGGACGTATTGAAGTGTTTTCATACTTACCCAAATAATTTTTAAACGGTCCATTATTTTTGTTATTTTATTGTCGAACAAATTGAAACTCACCCTTAAGAAGTTATGTACAAAAGATGGTTACAATCCGCTTACCCGTTTCAGAGATCCAGCAAACCCACAAACGTTACTCCAGCAGGATTTCGAATAACTTCGCAGCCGAAGAAAATACAAATACCAAATAAGTTGTAACATTTACCTAGTCCAGATAACTAATTATCTAGCTAAAATTTATTTCAATATTACAATTAAAAAAGAAAATGTCTGGCTGCGGTAACGTTTCAAACGTTACCCCAGCAGGAAATGTTTTTTTGAAATAACTAAAAAAGTTTAAGTGAAACAAATTTAAAAATGTGCCTAACAATTACAGAAGGGGAGCAACTAATTATCTATAAAGTTTAAATGACCATTTTCGACATTATTTTGCTGGGGTAACGCACACGCTTTTTCTCAACATAGCAGATAAAAGATTTAACTTCATTCTATTTTTGTTTATCTGTCAACTCAACATCGGCATTGGAATGAGGCAGTATTAAGAGAGTAATACTAAAGGTCGCTAATTCCTCAAATGTCGAAGTTCCTTTTTTTCTGTGCGGAAATCCCCTCCCCCAGATGGGACTCGAACTGTCTTTCTTGATCAGTTACTATCTTTGGACACCCGTAACAAGAAACCCAATGTGAAATGAAAGCTTTCGCCACCGTCTCTGCTGTTATATTTTAAAATAGATTTTGCTCGCGTCTCCGCCCGCGTAAATGTCAGTTACCGCGGTAAAAAGTAGCAAATGTCTTTCCTCAAGAGTCAAAGCATCTCCATCTCAAATTTCATCTTAAACGGTTCAGCGGTTCTTGATTCCCCATACAAACTTCCACCCCCGTAAAGTATGATTTCTGGGATAAAAACTACCCTATGTCCTTTCCCGGGACTCTGACTATTTCATATAAATATATATATAATTTCATATATTTCATTTAAATGGGTTCAGTGGTTTAAGCGTGAAGAGGTAACATACATACAGAAACACTTTCGCATTTATAATATAAGTATGGATAGGTATAACCTTTGGGAACCTGGTGAACCTATCTATCACTGTTAAGCAATATCTGAATTGGGAAGATACCGCGAGCGGCCCTATTAAATCCATGTGTATTTAGGAAAAGCGTGTCTGTCATATTTTGTATTTAGTATTTACTATCTTTTGCCCGCGGCTCCGCTCGCGTGTATGTCGGTCATCGCGATAAAAATAGCCTGCTACTCGCTGTTAATGTAGCTTTCCATTGATCAAAGATTTTTTAAATCGGTTTAGTAGTTTAGGCGTGAAAGCGTAACAAACACACTTAGTTTCACATTTATTATGGATTTATCCACAGGCTTACACTACCTTTAAAGGTTGTTTTGGCATCAACTAATTTTTTGACACAGACCACTTGGGACAACTGAATCGCAGCTTTTTTCTCCTTACACATAATAAATATGTTTACTTGTTGTTACTTTATATGCAGTCACGCGAATTACTATTTTTGCTTATAGTAAAGTGTATACCATTTTTAACATTGATTCCAGTTTCACAATCTCCTATTACGATAGATTTATTTTAGTTTGACCCTAGTTTTGAATCTCAGTTTAAAATTTTTGGCGTTGGATCCCACAAAACATTATTATGTATTTCCGTTGGCTCCCAAATAAAAAAAAGCTATAGAATTGCTTCATTGTCAGTTGTTAAATGCAGTTAGGTACTTACTTTCTACTTGCTTACGATATTTTATCTACTAAAAACAACCGCTTTATATGAAGGAAACATTTAAAATCAAACTTCCAAGCTAACTATGGTTGAAGTCCGTAGGGTCAGCATATTAGATGCAAAGATCGTAACTATCGACCAAATGTGTCACAGGTAGTGTGTATTATAGTAAAATGTTTAATCATGTGACAGTACTAATTATCTACAAACAAACATCATCAACCACACCCTTTCCCTTTTCCAATTTTAATAATAATAATGCGTAATATTAATAAGTAACTGGGCTTCTTTTGTGGCCGGCTACAACCCTTTTTTTTAGTTGCGTTACCCCCGCAAAATAATGTCGAAAATGGTCATTTACATGTTATAGATTGTTGCCCAGCTTCTGTAATTGTTGCGCACATTTTACAATTTGTTATACTTATAGTTTCTTAGTTATTTCACAAAATCATTTTCTGCTGGGGTAACGTTACCGCAGTTAGACATTTTCTTTTTTAATTGGAGTATTTAAACAAATATTAGGCAAATAATTAGTTGCCTAGACGAGCTAAATGTTACAATTTATTTTGTATTTGTTGGGTTTCTGGATCTCGGAAACGGGTTAGCGGATTCTAACCATCTTTTCTACATAACTTCTTAAGGATTCGTTTTAATTTGTTGTACAATAAAAAAATAAATAATGCACCGTTTAAATATTGTTTAATTAAGTACACTTAATAAAAACTATATTAAAATTTAAATTTTTGAAGAGTGTAAACTGAAATCATTCATTTAAAAAAATGAGTAAGGCCTTAAAAACAGTCACAGACAAACATTACAGATAGCAATTCCGTTTTAATGGCCTCTAAGCTTAATTCCAAGTGTCAGGGATGGAGACTTTTCACAATTTCATTATAATGTTATCCCTAAAATTCAGCTTAGGAATTTGATTATGACCGGACTATAATTATTTATTAACATTTAAATGATTATTTTCGATATTTTTTCATGGTATAGGGGGGACCGATGGTAAGTAATTACATTCGCCCATGGCCACCTTCAACTCATACCAACCCATCTAACTAGCGTGGTATAGTAGACTAAAACCTCCTTTCTAAGGGGAGGCCTATGTCCAGCAGTGGACTATTAAAGGCTTTTGATGACTAAGAAATTCACCATTTTATAAGTCTAAAAAAACCGTACACACTATCTACTTTTACTTCTAATATTAAATCTTTTTTTTCCAGGTTTACCGTTCAAAGATTTGTATTCAAAATGTCGGGAACAATTTTTGGTAAGTTCAGATCTCGCACTCAGAGCTCAACTTACGGAGTTTTTGGATCACAAACTTGTGAAGATGAAAAGATCTTACGACGGCACTGAGAATCTCGTCATTCCCATCGATAAAGTTCTCTTACAACAGTTCTTGGAACAACAAGATAGTTGACGACGCACCTTCTTGGTTATTCTTTTATTATTTTTTTGCCATCTTACTATGATTGTTTTTCAGTAATAAAATTAAAAAAGAATCAAAATGTTTATTTATAATAGCCACTGATTAAAAATCGCCTGTGGAAAAAATCACATACAGGACATTTTCATAAGCTTGGTTGCTTTTTAAAATTAAATACAGATTAGAAATGAAAGAAGTAGTCATATTTAGCTTTTATTTTACAATCCCAGAAATAAAGTCTTAATAGGATTATATATAATATATATCAACAGGCCAAAGTTGTAAATTACTTAAACTTAATGACTTACACAATATAATAAAATTATTAACTAAAACTCTCTTCAACATATCTGGCACGTTCACCATGATGCATCAACCAAACATTGATAAGTGCATAAATTGCTCTTTTAAAATTTAAAAAGATGTAGAAAAATACTCTCTGAACTCATCAGACGTCAAAGATTTGATCTAATTAATCAGATTACGATATTTAACTACGCCCACTGAAATTGAATTTTTATTATACTGAACATCAGTTATCATTAGTGAGATTATAAATAACTTGATATTGCATTGTATTGGCTCAGCCCTTGGGGCAACACTTTGCCCGTTAAATAATCTGTGCAGAAATAATTCAAATAAATGTTATAAAGGAATAAACTATATATGAAATATTTAATAGCGTCAATTATATAATTATAATAAAAATGAAACATTGAAATTCTGTCAACTGAAGGGTGTTTTTTTTGTTTGTAAAAATACATGGGTATCCCTCTGTTACTATTATCTGAAACTCTCGTTTGCCGATATTTCACATTTATAGTCTTTAATAATATTAAATAATTTTCTACGTGAAAATTGACGTCAATGTCATAATAGTTAAAATTGTAGTATGTCTTTATCAGTCTAAGTTGGTCGTCAAAAATCAGGCGGTGCCCACGTTCAAAAATTGAGGTTGTATTAGATCAAGGGGCATGAAAAAGTTTTTGTCTACCAATTTACTATGCTCTTTCCACTTACAGCTAATTAATACGATTTATCATAACTGTAGATCAAATGAGAGCTTTTTTTATCCTATAATCATGCACATTCACTTCAATGATTAGACTAAAATTAAGCATATCAATAGAATAAAAAATGATTATTACATAAACAATTTAATTGAAACATTAACTGTCGGACAACAAACTTCAGATTTCACACAATGTCTATGAGACATGAAAGATAGAAAACATTTAATTATCAAATCGTACGATGCCCGAGGGACGCATGTATCAAACACTGTTAAAAGCGGTAGTCTAGCCTCATTGGGTGTCGGTATCAATCTCACGAATGACAACTAGTCTAAGGGGGTGACTCGTGTCGTGGCTGTGAACAGGTTTATTGTCCGATGCATCGGAGCGCTGTACACTTACAAACTAGTAAGATTACTCCGCTTAAGGCAACACTCAATTCTCGTCTTCATCGTCGTCTTCGTGTTTTCGCTTTTTACCTCGAGTGCTTTCTTCAGGCTCACGGTCTGCCTCACCATCTGAACAAGAAATTACATTATAGATCTTGATCAACGGTAAAGTTAATTTGTGTATTTGCCAGCAACAGAACTTCGGCAGGCCATTTTTAAGGAGATGAGGCTTGTACACTTTACCCTGACTGAGTGGTCAGCACTACAAGCATATTTTTTTGTAATTTTTTTTAAAGACACCATTAGCAATATCTCCTTTGTTGCGGGGGACTTTATAAACATACGTGAAACGAATACAAAGAACACCCAGTGTCGTCCCATGTGGGGATCGAACCCACAACACTCAGCGTAGTAGTAAGAGGCGTGGGGAACACTACGCCATCCGTTACTGTACTATTATGATATTTAGCTCTTTTTTTTTTAAATAAAAAGGTTTTTAAAAAAACAGGTTTATCTATAATATATATGTATTTAGAAATATATAAGTATGTTTATCAGCAGTCTGGTTATTATAGCACAGGCGCCTATTTAGGGATAAGACTCGAGATGTGTGAAATTATTATAGTCAATGATTGTATTTTGGTGTGTTTTAGTAAATAATATTTATTCACAACTAGCACTGCTTTGTTAGCATGTAAATGTTTTTTTCATCCCTTCTGAGGTGAGAAAGCCGTGCCCGAACCACCCTTAATTCTGTGAAGGGGACTCAAAAGGCGGTAATGTATACTAGTGACTCCTGAGTTGCAGGTGTCCATGAGCGACGGTAGTCACTTACCATCAGGTGACCCACCCATATGCTCATTTACCATCATATACGGAGGTGGGGGTCAAAAACCAATGAAATTCGTGTGATGACCATCACACGAATTTCATTGGTTTTTGACCCCCACCTCCGTCCTTGTTACAGCTAGTCACATTTAAAGCCCCAATGTGCGACATCACGTATTTTGCAATTTTACATCTAGAAATAGTTAAAATCTAACTTTGGAACTGCTATTTTATAGCAGTATTATATATAAAATCAACATCAAATGAAAAGTTAAAAATTATCACACTTCGCCGACTGCCCCCCCCCCCCTTCCTCAAGTGTGACGTAATTTACGGATGGCCCCTACTATAAAAAAAGGAACGGTATTTGTTTTCTGAAAGAAAAGTGTATGTCCTTTTTTCTGAATAGAGCTTCAAAAGACAATGTGTATTAAAAATGTAATAATAACTGGCAAAGTTGTAACAATTTGTCATGGATAGTGTTGTTGTGAATACTTACTACCTTGCACTTTGGAATTGTGCTCTCTGTCCGCATCGTTGTCCCCATCTTCATCGTCTACATCCTCCTCCTCTTCTACGTCGCTGCCTTCGTATAATGAGCTGGCCGAGCTCTCCTCTTCTATTTAAAATAATAATAATATTTTTAATTTCTCTCATCACAAAGAACTTATAAATACAGATCAGTCAGATTGGGTACATCATTGCTTTGTGAGAGACTGGTGTCTGCAGTAGGTAAAACCTGTGTTACAGCTCACCAGGCTCACACCTTCTGGACGGAACATAGTTATATTTCTTTAGCATGTACTAGTTTGTAATACATTATACTAGTATAAGTAGACTAGTAGAAGTAGTAATAAATTTATTATCTTTCGAGCCGCCTAAGGGAGCAAACTACGCACGACAACAGTACTGTTAAGAGAAGGAAAACTTGACACAAATCCTAAGTGTTTTTTGGCCTACTAACCCAGTGTGGCATAGTAGGCCATATAATATATATATAAAAGCAGGGTATAATATTCTAATAGTCAAGCTCTTTCATTTGATACCCATATTGAGAAAGTTGTGAAAAAATATGTAATCATTTTGTGGCGGCGGACATCTTGGACCGATTTTCATCAAACATAGCTAAGAACACGCCCGACTAATTCACCTCTCAAACAAAAAAACAACATCAAAATCGGTTCATCCATTCGGGAGCTACGATGCCACAGACACACACATACACCTCAAACTTATACCACCCCGTCGTTTTTGCGTCGGGGCTTAAAAAACTACATCAGTGAACATCTTTGTTAGCATGCCATGTGGTTTTGATGGTAGTGCAGTGGTTTGATGCCCGATCAGTGCAAATATTATGAATGAACATGTCTATTTGCATTGGTTCCGGTGTTCCTATGTATAATAATATCTATGTATTTAGAACTAGCTTTTGCTAACAAGACAGTTTTATATTTAAAAGTTAATTATATCTGTAATTGTAGAATTACTTTAAGTTATTGTAATATAATAGGAGAGGCCTATGTCCAGCAGTGGACTAATAAAGGCAGTAAATGATCTACCTATAAATTATAGAAGTTTCTATATCTACTTCTTTACAATTCATTCAATAAAATTTTGGGGACCCGTATGTACATTGTTCACAAAGATCATCTCCGTTAATAAAGTATGTTCTTACCTAGATTATCGTTATAGACTGCACTAAGAGACATATCCTCATCATCATCATCTTCTTCGTCGTCTACTTCTTCATCACCCGAACCTAGAAACAATATAATTATATTTTATTTGTGAAAATTTGGTAAGCTTTTGTAGGAAGGAATATTGTATACTTATTATGAAAGATCTGTTAAATTTATGAAGCGTATGTACCCATTACACAAACTTTTTATTCCCCTACTCATTATTCCCATTAATTACACAAAGATTTTTGAAGTGATAACTTCTTAAGGGAGAGTAAACCGCTTCGTTTCGTTACGTAACGCTTTACGGCGCCAGTCCTGGCTTCCCTTTCTCTCACGCATACGGCAGCGATAGGCAGGCTCCTCCTCTCTCACTCTAAGCCACAGCGCTAGCCGTATTTCGGACAGACGCTTTACATAAAATTTCAGTAATAACCTAAGCTTTTCTCAAGTTAAACAATTTCAATATTAAGTAGTTCAACTTAGATTAGTTTAAGTTATCACTTCTGTCGGCGGTCCCGAGACGCAGATGCTTTTTTTAAAGATGTTTTTAACACAAAATATAACGTACCATCATCATCACTATCATTATTTCCATTCATTACATCTTCTTCCTCCGTTGTATCTTCCGCTTCTCTGTCGTCCTTATCAAATCTGAAAAAGTATATTGGTTAGTTGCTGCTGTAAAACCACATTTTCTTGTAAATGTTAAAAAGCAACTCCCAACTAAGAGCTAACTTTAACTACACAGTTTTCTTTCACCAGTAACCAGAAGGACTGCTTCTGTTTTGTCTTGTCAAAGAACAGCAGTCTTTGCATCATGTGTAAGGCAACATCACTTGCTGACCTTCGCATTCTTGCTTGACTTCATCTTGGTCATGAAACGGCGGGAAAGACTGGATACTAGTTAGTAGTAGTTTCCAACATTGTTCCATTGTATAGCATTGAAGTCATGACAGTCAATGTATGCATGTATGTGATAGTTTAGGCATACTTTTCAAGGATTTCCTCTTTAGTTTGCCCTAATTATAGAACCTATTTAGTAAAGTGATAGACCATGGGAGTTTCATGCCACCATCAACAAAAAGAAAAAAAAAAGTAGATCTATTATAAGAAAATCTCACCCGTCTAAATATTTTAAAGATGGATGTAGTGCAAAGACTTTAGTCCTGTAGTCTTCAATACTAGTGACCTCATTGTTAAAAAGATCAAGATTTTTTAAGTTCTTAAACTCTTCCAGAGGTTTGAGTGCGTCTAAATCTTTGATTTTATTTCCTGATAAATTAAGATGTGTCAACTTTTTACAGCCATTAAGAAAATTTAATCCATTAGATATTCTGTTGTCAGAGAGCTCCAGTTTCGTAAGCTTGGGTAGTGTAGGGAATCCTTTGAGTGTAGTGAGACCAACAGCATTGAGACTGAGGTTTTCCAAATTGGTGTATTCATTTGTTAGTCCAACTATACTCGTACTTCTACAGTTGTCTAGGTTAAGTTCTTTAACCTGGAAGAAAAAACACATTTATTATTATTATTGTTGACTTTCTAAGAGTGAAATGCAATATAATAATAACTTCAGACATCTCACAAACGGCCATCTCATCCCTAACTAGACAGAGCCTGTACTACGGTAACCAGACTGCTGATAAACATACTTATATATTTCTAAATACATGCACATTATAGATAAATTACACTCAAACACATAATTGTGCTCATCATACATTTTTTTGTCCTGAGTGGGAATCAAATATACAGTAATGACATGGAATGTTGCACAGATTCTGAACACATTGATCAAAACAATTGCAATGTGTAGTAATAAGGTGCAAAATGACAGGCTAGCAGCTTAAAATTTGAAAAGTTGTAGTTTATGTTCCTTTTGATCAGCACAAATATATATTTATGTATGACTATGTTTATTTGCATTGGGCCTGGCAAGCACACTCATGTATGGTTTATGTATGATATATCTAAGTATGTTTGTCTGCTTATACGTACATAAGCAGTAGCTTTACCGCTGCATACCTCACTAAGTATATTGTTCCTACACTAAATAAGTAAGCTTTAGCGTTCTTTTAGAGTTAATACCAATTTCTATTAGACAAAGATTTTTTAATATTGAAATAGGGAAGTCGTTGTAGGCTATAATTATGTATAATTTATGAATAAAATGACTCGATTTCTCAGCAGTTTCATCCATTTTCCGGTTACTGCTCTGCTCTTAAAATGAACTTTAGCTTGATGTCATTTAGTGTTAAACATTCTCAAGAAATATCTTATACAAAACAGTACTTCAGATAGCCTTTTTATGTATAAGCTTTTATCAAGACACTGATAGCAGAAAACGATTTGTTATAGTTGAGAAGTTTTTTCATTTTTTTTCCTACAAACTTTATTTCGGCAACAAGCCCTAATACATAAAAAGAGGGTCAGAAATTTAACAGAAAAAACATAGAGACAAAGAGTTACGTGTGGTAGTGATTAGAGTTACATGTATGTATAATTTTTGTTTCTATTAGTCTTAGTACCTACATGCTATTGTGTTGCGTCGCGTTGCGTCAGAAGCATATTTATTATAGGTTTTATACAGTTAATATATTGCTACCTTGTATGGTTAAGACATTTTTATGAAACACTGTAATAATGAGTTTTTAACCATAGAGGTACAGGATATATTAAGTGTGAAAGTGAGTTTGTGTGTTTATTACGCTTTCTACGTCTAAACCAATAAACCGATTTTGAAAATTCTTTCAACAATAGAAAGATTTATTAATATCAGCGACTAACATAGACTACTTTTAACCGCGGTAACCGACGCGTGTGTACGCAGGCTGAGCCGCGGACAAAAGCTAGTTTAGGATACACGCTAATAAATAAGTTCAACATAGTTCTCATGAACCTCTACCACATTAAAAAAGAATTACTTAAATCCATTTATCACGCTAATCCCTGAAACTACTATTTTAGAGATTTCCTTGTTTAAACAAACAAACAAATAAAAGTACTTTCCAGTTTTTATATATTAGTATTGAAATATAGATATAAAACCGATATGCTTCTGGCAATATACAACACAACTATTTATATTACTTAGTACTAGGGCTGCCATCTCTGAAACCTGCCCCCCCAGGACCGGAAGCGTAAGTTCCCCGGATTTTGAAGCTTTCACCCCGGACATTTCAATGCTTTTTTCATTCATTTACATCTTGATTAAAATATATTTTACTCCGTACTTGATAGAAGAAAACTTTAATTTTAAGACTCTTTTGTTGCATGAAATAGTGTGTTTAATCGTTCCTGTGACGACAAGTGAGTAATTTTGCTTTATTTTTTAACCTTCTTAGGTATTAAATAAAAGATAAACAGACCCAATATTAGTTACTCATTTAATAAAATTAAATGAAAATTTGTTTTACAAGGGCAGCGGGTGCGGTGAAATACCTAACCCATAGCTTTTATTTACATAAATTATTGGAACGGGATCTGATTGTAAACCCGGACTTTTATTGTACTCCGGGTTGCACCCGGACTACAATTTTAACCCCGCCCGGACGTCTTCCAAACTAGGACAAATCCGGAGAAAACCGGACGGATGGCAGCCCTACTTAGTACCTACTAGCGATACACCCAACTTGAGTTATTATCTGACTAGTCTAATTAAATTTAAAACAGCGCCATCTATAATCACCTTAAGTACTAACAAGATAATATATTTATTTACTTGTTACATACGTACAGCAAGCAGTAAACTGAAAAAGCAATTTAATAAGAATTAGCGGATGTAGCGTCTTTAACGAAAGACTCAAAATTATTTAATGAATAATCTACTTAAACGTACATTGTTTTTAATATATGTGAAAAAGTCGAGTGGCAAACCATTAAACTTTAAGTATGCATGGCAACAACTTCTTTACTAGCCTAGTCATATATATCTAGTATATCAACATATACATTACCTACAAGGTTATTTGGTTGTAATGGCGCTGTTTATGTTATGAAATTGTATGAAGTAAACGTGGTATCCATTAGAAAATTAAATTCTTTTTTATAGGTGTATTTAACCACAAAGAGCAACATACAATGAGAAATTTATATTATTAGTAATGTAACTGGCTTGTTGAGTATTTATTGAAAGCAAAGTCAAGCCAACCAAAACGTCAAAATGGTGTTAGTTGTCAAAGATACAGGCGTAGTTTACAAAATCTGTCGTATGAGTGTTTATTTTAGAGAAATATTCTATAAAACATAAACAGGATGTGTTCGTATTAAAGTTTATAGCTCGTTATGTATTTTGCCGTGTTGCAGTCCCTAAAACAAATATAAAGTTTATACTTTACAATGGCGGATGACACGAATCATCGCGACGCAATAAAAATGGCCGCTATATTGGTAAGGCGTGCGTCAATAATAAGATAGCAGTTAGGAGTGTAAATAGACCAAAATAATAACAAAAAACAATGTGCTGTGATGTATATAGAAGTAAATATCAAAATTCTTGCCATATTTGGCAGTAAACATTAATGTGTGCGCACTTAGTAAAAGGGCGCGAAATTATTTCATGTAACTACAGTAAAGTTTACTTTGTAGATTAAAAGGCCGCCTAGTCATTGAAGAGTTATTGCTAATCCTAAAAAGTGTCTTCGGTTACTCAGCATTTTCATCAGTGACCAATAAACCGTAAACTTTTGTAAATTCCGTAAAATATCATTGACATTGACAATCCAATAATCAATGAGCCTTCTTTTCAAAGAATTAGTTTAGAGATAATATTGTTTCTTAGTAATGAAGGGATTGAGATATATTGTAGATGATGATGTTTGATTTCAGCCTTATAATTAGTTGGCTGTGTGAGTATACAACATGTACGACATCCCGTAAGTTTCGACACTTAACCTCAATATGTGAATATTACAATATGATTGTTTTATCTGCTAGTTTATACCATATATGCAAGTTAGTAAGTCATGAAGGCACCGATAGAAGCATAGAATATCGTTATCTGGTCGGAAACTTCAATAGAATGTATAATAATTAGGTGCACATGAAGAAAACGTAACAATCGGTAATGGCTAATTTCTATACATAATAATGCCACATCTTTAATTATGAAGTAGGTATAGTAACGAGCACATATTTAGCTAATATAAACCGAAAACGATATTGATTCACTGACAATATTCACAATTTTTAGATATTATATCAAAGTACCTCATGAAATACGTATCGACAAAACATTCCAATATATCGAAAAACAAATTCTATTTACCTGCGAAGGATTCCTTCCTCTCAGTTCTAAGGCGACTCTCTTTTCCATGTCTACTAATCTGATCATAGACTTAAAAACACTTCGCGTTTATAATATTTCTCAGGGAACTAAATCACTAAGCTTGGGTTTCAAAACAGAAGGAAACTATAGATACACGAGTGACGTCGTACTAGAGGCGCCGCCTGCTGGCCAAATAACGCAACCGGATATAACACAGTTGAGAGATTGATTTAAGTTTTGCTATTACGTTTGGGAATAAAAATGTCATTAGCTGAAGATTTTCATTACATAAATTCGAAACAAAATATATTAATTCCTCAAAAACTTTTTAAAGCTGGTACGTAATTCATAAAATGAATATTGAACCATGTTGTACTTTGCTGTGTTGGTAGAACGTTAGTTGCCATTTTGACGGAATTAAGGCGGCAGTTTCAAACAGTGTTGTGGTATTTAGTCGTCTAGCCGGTAAAACAAGTTATGAATATTTTTTATTTACCTATTGAAAATTATTTTCATGTAATAAATTTATATGTTTGGTTTATTCACTTTCGTATTTCGGTGTATATTTAAAATAAATATATACATTTTGTAATATTAATGTGTTCGATAAAAGTGAATAAAGTATATTATATCAAACATAAGCAGAAATGTATAGTAATAGTTTTTCATAAATTTGTTGTCAAATACAGAATCTATTTCTTTTAATTTTTTTCGTGAAGTGCCTCTTATTATATTAATTATTTTTTAATAAATAATCTTGGTGCCAAGTGAGTTGCAGCTACTGGATTCTAACTAGAAAGGAATTAGAAAAAGTACGCGCTGTCAGAAATAAGTATAGAGATTTCTTTGGATCTTCATTTCATCTGTGGTACTAGTGCTAGTACCACGGAGGTACTAAGAAGAAAACAAAGCATCAAATGTGTTGTGAAAGGAAAAGTATACCCTTTACTCTTATACTAGGTTGGCCACATCCATTTAAACCCTTTAAACATGTCTGGTTAAAGGGGTCATGACCCCCCCTGCGGAGGATTTAGTTTGTACGATTTCAAGTAGTAGATATGTAATAAGTAGTAGATAATTAGATTAAAGCTTGTCGTGAGTCCTAATAATACAAAAAACCGGTCAGGTACGAAGCGATCTCGTGCGCCGAAGGTTCCGTACCTACCCAGATTTTACGTAGATTTTCGCGAAAATTTGTAAGTGCCAAAATTTAACTTTTTATTTGTGCTGTAAGACGTTTCTTTTTGCCAAATTTCGTGATTATAGGCCAACGGGAACTAACATATAGGTTTTCGACCCAAAACCTATAGGGTACTTCCTGTTGACTTAGAATTGTCAATTTTGGTTAAAAGCAAGGTCTTACAGCACAAGTAAAGAGAAAATTCTGAAAAATAAAAAAAGTTGAAAATTAAGGTAAATTTTGGTACTTACAAGTTTTCGCGAAAATCGAAATTTGCCCATATCTTTTTATCGAGTTGACTCAGGACCTTGATTTTTATACACCTAATAGAGACCATAGACGTTAGTATCTGGTATAAACTTCAACCTGCTAGGTCTACCCGTTTCTGAGAAAATCGGTGGTGACACACGGACAGACGGACAAGAAAGTGATCTTATAAGGGTTCCTTTTTTACCTTTTGAGGTACGGAACCCTAAAAATGACCCCTCCCCTCCGAATTAGATCCTCTTTATTACATTACCTTAATATATTTTGGTTTTTATTCATCACTATATCTCCTTTCGTCCTATTCTATTTAAATTTTAGGACGGATCAATGATTACAATACACAAAAAGTTATGACTGGGTTCTGTTAAAATCAGCAGCTTGAATAACGGGAACCCTCGTTGGGAATGTATTAATGTAATCGTTTTCAGCCGGGACAGGCGAAAAAGATAAATTTGGAAATTGGATAGGATAAAAGAGGTTGGATGGAGAAACGGGAATATTTCGGCAATTAATTGATTACTAACGACAAATCATGAGATCATTGTTCACGAAACTTTAACACAGTAGTCATCGCCTATTTATCCAAATGATTTTTTGTGCCAAGTGGGTCATGTCACTGCTTTATTTTTTCATTTTCCTGAAGGATTCGTGGACACACTTCATGTGTTCAAAATAATTATAAGTTGAAGATATGCGTTTCAAATGTTCAGCACGCGTATTAACTAGAGAAGTACATTCGTTATGAGTCAGTTGGCTAGCATGTTTGTTGGTGCAGTTTTTCTGGAGGTGGATTGCTGCGGCAGGGTACAAGAGGCTCTATAGACGCGCTCATGACTCCGCCCATTGTACTGTATAAGGTTAGGTAATATAACTTTTAGCAAGGTAGTTTTTCCCATTGGACCTACAATGTTTGTTTGACATTCAAGTGGTAGAAAAAAAAACGTAATTTTTGTGAACGGTTAATTTTTTACTTGCACGCTTCTATGTAAACATGTGATTATAATAATTTCATTGAGCAAAGTAAAGCTTAGAAAAATATGGTTGGTTATACTATTATAAACATTTGTAAATATTATGATGTATTTATTTTTGAATAAGATATTATTTCAGTAAAGGGTAATAACATGTACACCGAACAGTAAGCACCGAATTCAGTACTGTAAGGACTCGTCCGCACAGCGATATTTCACCGCACGTTTTTTTTTCGCAAAATTCATGGGATCTATATAGGACTATCCGCACTGGATGATGAAACATAGAAACACACTAGATTTGTCACTGGAATCTTTTGTAATATAAATAATTATTTTTATAAAATATTTCAATGAACATTAAAGGTAAAATAAATAATGTATTAAACTCGTTTAAATTTTATTTTTTCGAATGATTAGAACATCTTCTCAATAAGTTTACTTTACTTTTTTATTACTTTAAATAACTACTTTCTTTAAAAGACAACGCCCGCATAAGAATATATCCTGTCACGGGGACTTTACAAACACATGAAACAAACACAAAGAACACCCAGACTCAGAACAACAATTTCTGGATCACACTAAATGTGGTCCCATGTGGGGATTGAACCCTCAACACTTAGCGTAGTAGAAAGCGGCATAGCGACCGCTTAAACCATATTTTTAAAAGAGTTTTGTTTAAAATGATTTCAAATTTATCGTTGCCTTGATAGACATTTATTATTCATAAAATCTACTAGTAATAACATGGTAACGAACATTACATTATTTATATTCGAATGTCCATCCCAAATATTTGGGTAGGCGAATGTTGACTATACGTATAATAAGCTAACATACTGGGTGTTAAAAAAGTACCGGAACAGCAAAATAATTCGCTGGGAATGCAATTTTTTGGAAATACGGTAAACAATAAAGTTCCCTGAACCTTGAAATTTACCTTCATCACAACTTTGACGGTTATCTCAAGGGTCAAGGGCAATTTTTAAATGGGATTGCATATTTTTGAGGCTAGAATTGAAAAGAGAGGAAAAGATTGCAATTAAAAATTGCTTCAGTACGCAAATTTTTGGCCTCTAAAGGTCACTTGATCCAAGGTCAAACTCACAAAACCATAGGAAATTGATTATTTTCTTTAGCCAAGAGACAAGCTACAAGATTCAGGGTTTTTCCTGGCTATTCAGTAGAGACCTTAAATTATGAACAGGTAAACTCTGATCTAAATTTCAAAATCCTTTTAAGTTCACGGTCAAATTTTTTAAATGGGATCCTGATCTTAGTGGAATTGAGATAAAATTCAAGGTTGCGATCAAGGTCAATTTCAAGGTCACTGATAGATAGCCAGGAAAAAATCCTGTAACTTTTTGTTTAACGTATTGCCGAAAAATGCATCCTTACCGAATTATTCTGCTGTTCCGATACTTTTCTTACATCCTATATGTTTAAGGGGTAATCTGTGACGATACATACTGCACTCGGAGACAAGTTCGACATTTTAGGGCAGCTTTTTTTCATTCACTCCTTGACGATCACACCATGCTTAAAAGGAAGAGAGAACAGAAATCATTTAAACAACTCAACAGTAATATGATATAATAAAATATCCCCAACTATGGAAATTGTGTTCGTGTTGTTTGTCCTTGTATTTTTTGGTGGGTGAGTAAACTTGAACAACGGGTAACATTTTTAAAACATTTTTAGAAACATTATACTTTTCTTTATTCACTTGTCAAAGGAGATGATGCTCTTCTTTAGGCATTTCTTTATCTTGAATTTGATTATTCCGTATTGGTCTTAAACGCTTTCAGTGTTATAAATGATGTATTGCGGGGTATTCTTATACTTCAGTTATTCTTTTACCTGCCTATTATGTCTGACAGTAGGTCTGTTTTTGTATTTAAACTTACAGAAAACGCGCGTTCGCTTATAGCTGATTATTTCGGCAATGTCTCATAGCTGTAGCAAGTAAGTCAAGCGAATAGCTTTGTCTCGCTCGCACTAGTCGGGTTTAAACCAGGATGTGTGACGCACCTATGAACCTGTTGCCGGATTTTAATTATGAATTTAAATTTAATTTAGGTAGCTTTGACTAAGTCAAGTCAGGATTTAAATGGCAGTTGGAGGACGATAGATTGGAGGCCCACGATGTTTGAAATCGAATTCAGTTTTGTTTTGTTTACAAGCTGGATTGAGTTGTGCGGAATCAACAATTGTCTTCAATGTTTTTGATACCTATACAAAAGTATTTGAATGCAATGAAAATCATTTATGAAGGAGAAATTAAATTGTGAAAATAACTTTTAATTTTTAGTTTAAGGTACCTAAAACTTATTTAATAACGTCTCTGAAACCATCTCTTATTTGTGTATTTTTCAAGTGTCTAAATCTCATAACAGACAATTTAGTAGGTCAGTACTTAGGCAGACAAAATTAAATGAATTGTCCGTTGTTCAGATTCAAATAAGTTACATTTTTAATATTACCTACTTGGGTATTTTTCCATCTAATGATAACAGAAAATAATCAGAAATGTCATGAAAGACATCAGCAATTCACAAAGATTTCTTTTTAAAGTTTGGTAAATAATGTATTAATACATATATATTTATTTAATTCGTAAACTATAGCCATATAAAAGGCGTGTTGAATTTAATTGTAATTAAAAAAAAGCAATAACAATAATCCTATAGAGGTCACGAGTCCTAAAGTTTTATATCTTAAATAAAGTAAATTTTAAGAGCTTTTATTTCTGCTTTCGAAATATGAATACGTTTTAGAACAACACTTACAACAAAAATGTTGCGGTAAGCATGGGCTGGCTTTTTATCTAACAATTCAAATTGAAATAATGTATTTCGGAGCTACTTAAGTTATTGTACTTAGATGTTACAATTTAAGCTCTACGGCGCGAACATTTTCGTATTTAATCCTTATTTGAAAAATTCGCAAGGGGAAGAGCATGTCATTAAGCCTAACCTATCAATTATGACTTTTTCTCAGAATGAGGCAATAAAATTATTTGTACAAAAAATAGACTTTAAATATTACAAAATTAAACCAACATCACATCAACAGCCTTTAATAGTCCACTACTGGAAATAGGCCTCTCCTTAGAAAGGAGGTTTTGGCCTACTATACCACGCTGGCCAGAGGAGTTGGTACAGGGTTTGTGCCAATCGTCCGGCACCTCTATGAGGTGGGCCCCGATCTGTCGGACGCCCAATTTGGTTTTTGGGCGGGGCGTTCGACAGTCGACGCTGTTTTGCGCCTGAGGGCCATGACCGAAGAGGCCGTGAGCTGTGGCGGCGTGCTGTTGGCGGTGTCATTGGACATCGCCAACGCATTCAATAGTCTGCCATTCAGCTGCATCAGGGAAGCACTCCACTATCATGGGGTGCCAAAGTACCTGAGGCGGCTAGTGGCAGACTATTTAGAGGAGCGTACCGTCGTGTACGAGGCCCGAGATGGTAATTTGAGGTGTCGGCCCATGTCGTGCGGTGTTCCACAGGGGTCTGTTCTTGGACCCCTCTTGTGCAACATAGGGTACGACTGGGCCCTTCGAGCTGATTTCCCCCCCGGGCTGGGTGCAATTTGTTACGCAGACGATACTCTGATTACAGCCCGAGGGGCGAACTTCCAAGAGGCGGCGCGCCTGGCCACAAGGGGAGTCTACCTGGTGGTCGGGCGCATTGAGGCGCTGGGCTTACGGGTGGCCCTAGATAAGACGGAGTCTCTGTTATTTCATGGGCCCCGTCGTGGTCCACCCCCTGGCGCCTCAATCGTGGTCAACTCGGTCCTCGTACCGGTTCGGGCCCAGATGAAATATCTGGGCCTGATCCTCGACGGGAGGTGGCTCTTCGACGAGCACTTCCGACAGCTTGCTTTAAAGCTGGTCGGCGCTGCGTCTGCCCTAGGGCGACTTTTGCCCAATTTGGGTGGACCCAGCGTCGCGACAAGACGGCTGTACACGGGGGTTGTCCGGTCAATGGCACTATACGGTGCACCGGTGTGGGCGGCGGCTCTGACCGCCCAGAATAGGGCACGCCTCTGGCGCCCTCAGAGGGTAATGGCGGTCAGAGCCATACGCGGTTACCGCACCGTTTCGACGGAGGTGGCGTGCGCGTTGGCCGGAACTCCCCCGTGGGATTTGGAGGCGGAAGTACTCGCCGAAGTTTATCGGCGAGTGGCTGACTCTCGGGCGGAGAGCGGATTTCGCCCTCCGCCCGAAGACGTGCGCGGGTGGCGCGAAGCCGCTCGCCGAGCCACGATGGCTCGTTGGTCGTTCTGGCTGGAGACTCCACGCGCTGGCTTCGCTGCCGTGGAGGCTCTCCAGCCGGTCATCGCCGAGTGGGCAGGGCAGCAGCACGGGACCCTTACCTTCCGGCTGACGCAGATGCTCTCCGGGCACGGTTGCTTCGGAAAGTACCTGCACTCGGTCGCTAGGAGGGAACTGAGTCCCGCCTGCCACCACTGCGACTGCAGTGAGGACTCGGCCCAGCACACGCTGGCGGTCTGCCCCGCATGGGCGACGCATCGCCGGGCCCTCACTGCAGTCATCGGAGTTTATCTCTCGCTACCGGCCGTAGTACGCTCCATGGCCGGTAGCGACAGTTGTTTTACCGCGGTCGCAACCTTCTGCGAGGAAGTAATCTCGCAGAAAGAGGCGGCGGAGAAGGCCCGGGAGGACGACCTCCACTCGAACCCGGGCGGCGGAGGCGCGCTTATCACCGCCTCATGCCGCCCTCAGTGTGGCCGCGGGTGGACGGGGTGGGTTTCCCCTCCACCCGCTTTAGTTTGGCCAGCCGCGAGGGGGCGGCGTCCGCGTGTGCCGGACGTCGCCTAAAGAGAGGAAAATTTTTAGACGGAGCCCGCAACAGGAGCGGGCCGGCACTAGGAGGGGTCCGGATGTCTTGATAACAGCTGTTCCCGGATCCCTCCTATTACAGGCGCAGAGTGGCACACCGTGTGGTTTTAGTCGGTCCGAGTCGGACACACCACCCCGCCGCAAACCCCGGTGGGGTGACGGTCCGAGGGGATTTCCACACGTAAAAAAAAAAGGGTTTGTGTCAAGGTTTCCTACTAAATAAATACTTGATTGATGTTAATTGTTTAAGCACAAAATTTTCTTTAATGACACACTCGATCATTTATTTTAAAGGCTATCTACTGAACGAGGGCGATGAGATTATGGGAGTCAAGATCTCATAGGTCGTACGATGGTTTGATGGTTGTTGTCAAATACTAGAGCCGCTATTCCTTCTGAAATCGTCGTTTCTCTTCCGTTTGCTTCAATGTAAAGAAAATATACATTAGAAAAGTATAACTAACTGTAGCAGTTTTAGAAAATCTAATGGTCTTCCCCTATTTTGAAACCCTGGCCATTATAGTAGGAGTTCCTGAGGACTCTTAACTCACCCTCGATAATGTTTAGGTATGTCGTATAATATCTGCCCTAATTAACGGCTTCTGGATTAGGGCTACGGTCCAAGTGTTGATCAGGCATTCTGTTTATATTAGTAGTGGCTGTCTGTTACTCTTGTTAGTTATTGACGTTACCTTGCGGCATGTAGACATAGAACGAATGATCGTGACAATCATACAATATTTGTCCTGGGTGGGAATCGAAACCAGGACCTCTGGCTTGGCAGTCAGGATCGCTAATCACTAAGTCAACAGGCCAGTCAATATTAATACTCCATTTGCGAGCTATACACCTAAATTTATTCTTTCGTTATTAATAGATAGTATTTTGTTGTGGTTATTTATATTTTTTTAAATCGTTCAAATGACTGACCATGGCACACGAAAAGCACAAGCTTCAAGCGCGAAAAAAAATGAAACGTCTTCTAGAAAATGTTCGGAAAAAAGATGTTCTAAATACCTCTGCCCCTACTGGTTATTGTACAAACCCTTGTGTTTGTGCGTGGTGATAGGTAATTAGCTTATTGTTTTTGGTTCTTTAGTCTTTCCTCTATGTACTCGATTTTAATTACCTCTGGATCTGACAGAACCTGACACATTAGGAATGTTGAGTTATCTCGGATGTGTTACTAATACACTAATAATTAATTGCTTTTTTGAAAAATTGTTTACTTTAGATCGCACTGTAATTCTTGCAAATAAAAACATATAATGCGGCGAAAATTCCGCAGTTGTGACATAGTCCTTCGAAACACTCGAAACATTCTGTGCTTTTTCGCTATCCTGTCTGTGTTGTTTATTTATAGAACTAGGAAAATACACAGTGATCGGATTAGAAGCAAACTTTCTAAAAATGCAATTAAATTTATTGACTTTCAAGAACTAAATTACGAGAGCTTACAAATAGATACCCTGAAAAAAGTTATCTTCAAGTATAATCAAGAAGAACGTATATTGAACGCCGATGTTTATGAAGCCATGAAAGACGATGCTCCCATCTTCGTAATTTTCACTGACAAATATAAAGCAAATTTAAAATACCTTATTGCGTCTTTGGAGCATGTATTGGGAATAGCAGATGCGTTGATAATATTTTCACATTCGTACTTCGATGAGAATGTAAACAGCTTGATAAAATCAATTGACTTCACTAGAGTAATGCAAATTTTTTACCCGTATTCAATACAGGCATTTCCCCAAGAATTTCCAGGTCATCAGTCAGGAGACTGTACACGTTTTACGGGCATAGATAATGCCAGGTCTATTAATTGTACGGGGGCAAATACACCAGACATACATGGGCGGTACAGAGATCCCATTCTGTCTCAAACAAAACACTTCTGGTGGTGGACGTTAAATACGGTATTTGAAAAACTATCACATACTAAAAACCATAAAGGAATGTATATTTTCATAGATGATGATGTATTTTTGTTGGAAGATTCTATCTACATGACATTACAAATGAAAAAAATAAGCAAACTTGTATCTCAATGTGACATTGTATCTTTAATGAGACCAGGTCATCCGAATTTCTCAGAAACAAGGACTTATGGTGCTGATTTGAGTACTTGGGATCCCAAGCAACATTCTAGCGTGATTGCTTTCGATTTACAAGTTTGGAACAGCATTGCAGCACATTATTTTCTTTTTTGCACTGTTGATGATTATTCCTGGTCACGTTCTTTGTTTCACGTTTCCATGAATAGGAGAGATGGCAGTAGGTTCAAAGTTATATCTAGCACCGTTCCTAGAGCATATCAAACTAGTAAAGTTTCAAGCTTTTCTAAACAAATCGAGGAGTACAGTATTATGAATAGCATATACGAGGTTCTCGAAATGCAGAAGCGAAATCAGGAAACCTTTTTTCCATCTCAATTGGAAGTTTATCTTAATATCGAGCTAGAATATGATGAATTTGAGATTTTTGATTATACTGAAAGCAACGGAGGTTGGGCAGATATAAGGGATAAACAAATGTGTACAAATATAACGGCGAACAAAGTGAAAAAACTCCTACTAGACATGAATGGAGAATTTAACCATTACAAGAATGACGATGACGTGCCTGAAATGGACGAGGATCGAAGTATTTAATAAAATACAATATACATACGGCTATACACTTGAAATTGCTTTTCAACTAAGCAATTTTTGTGTTCACATAATTTAATTTTTACGTATTTAATGCATAATTCGCTCAGGTTTTTTTTTAGCAAAAGTATATTATCTAGCTTACTTTTTATGAATTTTATTGCAGTTTTAGGCTATACAATGAATCCTAGTGAAACCAATATGACTAAATAATAATAATACTGTGACCCACAATACCAGAAGTTACTAAAAATTAGAACCGATTATATGATAACCAATACTTCAATATGGATGAAGGAAGATTCAAAAAAGCCAAAGAAAACCTGCCTTGAGCTGTAGTTAGTTGCAACTCCGCTTATTGTTGATATCTTGAGGACTTTGCACAACTGTCCATTTTAGAAGTTCTACGGCTAAGATTACGACGGAAATATTAAGGAAGGTGGTTTGACGGTTATTATTTACTTACTTATATATCTATAAAAAAATCTTATTGAACATTATTGTGTTTAATGACCGCTGTTCTAGCAGCGGTCATTAAGCTAGCAGCTCTTAGCTCTTACCTGCGGCTTCGTTCATGTTAATTTCGATTTCGTCCATCAATTTTTCTTTTATTTAAAGTACCTATCCTATATCCTGTTGCATACTATAATCTATCTCTGTACGAATTTTCACCCATTTAAGAATTAAAATAGAAGAAAATTTTAGTAGAATATATCAGAGATTTAAAATGCGGGAGCAGAGGCAATTCCGGGTGGCAGAGGCCGGGCCGAGGGCGTGGGGTGTGCCTATAAATGTGTAGGTATATATCTAAAAATATCCTGTAATATAATAGTGAGTCACGGTCAACTCCCTGGATAGACCGCTAAATACCTACAAGATTGTCTCGACTAAAAATGTGCCATTGTCATAAAAACATGTCTTCACATTAGACAAAGGCCCTCCTGGGACATTCCACTCCCTTGCATCCCAGGATTACGTGGGCGTCGGTTTCTTCTGCTTTCAGGCATCCTCTGCAAAGAGGACTGTCCGTCGCATGAATGGTGAATAGTGGGCGGTTCAGGACTAGGTGTCCTGTTATAGTTCCTACAACTATTCGGATAGCTAGTCTGCTAATACTGATCAGTCTGAAAGTAAGTGGTGAGACTTCAGTCAGCACCAGTTTGGACTGTCTGCAGCTGGGTGAGTATTTCCACCTTCAGTTGTGCGCTTCACGAGTACGCTGTCTAGCCCAGGGTCGAAGTTAAAAGGCAGTAGCAGGAATGTCCTTTTCATATAAAAAACAATGTCGTCATCTGACTAAAATAGCCCATTGAACAACATGAGCTTAATTTCTAATGAAGTTTTATGAACGACTAGCTGCTTAGCTTAAACTGGTTTATAGGCATAAATATCGTGTAAATGACCGTGTGAGCATGAAAAAACCTATTATTTTGACATTGCAAACAGACACTTCAATTTTATTTATTTGCATAGATGAGGCCCAATTAGGAAAAGCTCCATGTGTCGCAAGGGGATTTAATAAACATGCGTTGAGGATACAAAGTAAACTTGGAAAGCACACGTAACAAATTATCTGCGAATCACACATAAATAATACTGTCATGTGGAGATCATACAATCAACATTTTTCAAACCAGTTGGTGACATGTGAATTAAAATTACTGAATACTAAGAAATGTATCTCAGTATAAACATACTTAAACACCCAGCACCCTATAAAATATTTCTATTAAAAAACTACGCAACACGAATTTTTTTAATAATGTAGGTACAGAAATACGTCGCCTGTGCCTTTAGCAATCATCATAGCAATAACTTTTTGTTGCTTAACTCTGTCGTCAATCAGGCACAGATGAGTTCATTCGCAGATAATGTTACAATTAAGTTAGAGACAAAGAAGAGCATGTCACCGTAAGGTTGGCGCGTGGCGGCTTGGCGGGCCAACGGTTTTGTGAGGAGCGGGAGGGGCTCCGGCCTTTGAATGTGCGCGCGCAGCCTCGGCCCGGCCGCGAGCAACAGTCTGCTCGCGTGAGCCGCCGTTCGCGACTCGATCAGATCACGCCGCGGTATCATGAACCATGGTAAGCACCAACTACTACCATAACCCTCGCGACATTATCCTAAACTTATCACTACCCCTACACACCCTAAGACACCAATAAATTAAATTATATTCACACTTTTCAGTGATGATTCCACTTATGTTTTCATTATTTATTTACGCTGTTACCGTACAGAAGGAACAAATTTGAAATTAATGAATTAAAAAAGTTGCGGTGAGCATTAATTTTTTTATGTGCAACCGTGGTGGTATTAGGTAAATTTAAAAGCTTTTAATTTTGTCGTTTTGCCCCGCCGCGCGTCCCGAGTCCATTAGCAACAATAGAATTTAATACATAAAGCCCTTTTGTAGCAGTTTTGATAATTTTATTTTCTTTATTGATATAGTGCTGAATTATTGGGTCTATAAATTAAAAATTTAAGCAATGTGAGAATTTAAAAAAGTGTTTCAAGAAGTATTATTGCAGGCAGATTAAGGTGAGTACATAGTTATAATTAACTAAAAATTTTACTTTCAATTTAGTCAAACTAAACCAAAACGTGATATTTTACTGTATCGTTTAAAATAATTAATGGTCCATAATTTTTAAAACTTTAAATTCTTTATTATTTCTTTATGTTTAAGGATTTATTTCGATTAAAATTACGGCCTTATTCGTGTAATATTGTGAATTTATTAGGAAGGCTCTTTCAACAATTACGGTCGTAAAAGCCAAATTTTCCATTATAATAATAGTTTAGTACAAGATTTACTACAATTGGTTTTACTGTTATGACTGCTGTGATAACTTTTAACGGGTACAGGCCGCTTGGAGTATTTTGACTTATACTTATCAAAAGCTAAGACTTTTTTTTTTTTCACTTCATAGGGGGGGAAACGAGCAGACGTGTCACCTGATGGTAAGTGATTACAGCTCATGGAAACCTGCAACTCGAGAGTCAAGTGTATTGACGCCCGAGGAGTCCCCCCCCCCCGCCCTTAGAATCAAAGGGGGGGGGGCTACGGTAAGCACACTCACTCGAAGTAAAGCAGGGATTCCCAAAGGGGTCGAATCCCAGGGGTCGACATAATCGAAAACTGTTTATGGGGGTCGACAAGGTCTTAAAATCGACCGCTATTAATTAACAGAAGTTCTCATTTGAAACTTTCAATATAATGTACTAATACATTATACGTGTTAATACATTATATGTGTTACGTGTAACAACTTGTTATAGGAATGACTAATATTTTAAAAGGCAGTATCTTTGTTGTATTTTTAAAAAACTCAACAAGTTGATAGGCGTGCAGTAATTTGGCAATTGGGATCTAAGGCATCAGCTCATTTTAGAAAAGGTGTCTCTTGCCCAAAATAGTCTGAGAGGCCATGGTGTCACTCCGGTTGAGCCTGGCCTATATGCGTTGAAGCATAGCTCCCCACGGTTAAATGTAATTATTCTATGTTCCTATACTATGTAGAGTTATAATAATTAAATTTATTTCAGTACGTAAACGTCTTATTATTGATAGTATCTAGTATTATCCGTGTGGTGATGGATTAAGAATACTGAATGTCACCACCCCTGTTTATCTTGTGGGTGTCGTAAGAGCCGACTAAGGGAGCAAACTACGCAGGACAACCGGACTGCAAAGAGAAGGAAAACTTGACACAAACCCTACATCAACCCGTCTGGCCAGCGTGGTATCATCATCATCAACAGCCTATAATAGTTTACTGCTGGACATAGGCCTCTCCTTAGAAAGGAGGTTTTGGCCTACTATACCACGCGCGTGGTATAGTAGGCCAAAACCTCATTCCTAAGGAGGGGCCTATGTCCAGTAGTGGACTGTTAAGGCTGACGACGATGATGACGATTTGACAAGATAAAATGCAAGTAACTAAAAATTAAATAATTGGTGCCAATCATTTGTGTAGGACGGGATATAAATATTTACTTTAACTTTGAACCTATGCAAAATAACAAAATGACTTCCATAATAAAATTTGTCTGTGTTTTTTAAATAGCGTTGTTTTCATCGACTACGGCGACAGCAGTAAAATAAATTTATGAAACAAGTATTTATGGTTCCTAAATACTTTTGTCGTCAAATATTCTTTCAATGAATTTGTTTCTTGTTTGAAACATGTGGTCAGAAAATATGAAACCCTGCGTTGCACGTTACCTGACACGCCTTTTACCACTTTTTCCGTAGTGTTGGATATTTAGGTAGGACACACGTACATCTGCCTTGGAGAGGGTCCGAAATACTCTGAATAAACAATCGTGGCAGAAATTTAAGAGAGGTTAGAGGAGCCAAACCCCCTGATAGTGAAAGTGCAACAATGCACTTGTTACTCTCGAGTTGAAAGTGCCATGGGCGACAATAGGCGCTTACCGTCGGGTGACCCGCCTGCTCCTAAGCCCTCTAGACAAAAAAAAGAACAGTGGCACTTCGGGATTGCCGACACAAGTGAAAACTTTTATACTTATATACAGTGTCGGTAACAATAACGGTAACAGTGACGCAAGTTCAATTGTTTTTTCTTATCTCGAAAAATGCCCAACGCGCCTAAAGAAGTTTTCATTTCAACAGAGGTGTCGGTAACGGTAACGGTGTAGCGAGTTGAATGGTTTTTTTCCCTTTAAATACATTATTTTGTTTGTTGTTCATAAATGATCAACGCGCCTAAAGAAGTTTTCACTTCAAAAAAGAAATCGTTTGCTTGATGTCCTGTACTGCAATTCTCTTGCTTAAAATCTCACTCTAAGACGCATAAGTAACAACAAAAAAAACAATTATTGTGTATTAACTTTGAAGATTCTTTCATCGTAAAAATGATCCTAGAGGAATACGGTTTCTAGATTGATGATCTGTATTATTCTTATGTATTGCCGTAATATTGTCCACAGAACTTTATTAAGCTAAATACTGAGCACATTACAAGATGTTCGTCTTGTATTGATGTAAGGCTATATTTTACAAATGTTTTCATTATGTAGATCTTATGACACACTTTAAAGTTCTCAAGCTCGGAGCATAGACGCACTTTACTAATGTTAATGACGACATATGCAACAACAAGTATAATTGTACGGAATTATCAAACAGGCTATGTTATGTAATACTCAGGAGTGTTGTTCGGAGGGAGATGAGCTTACCTCGATTATTCTACACGGAAAAGCGTAGAACTAAAGCTGTACAGCGTGCACCTCTTCGCCGATTATTGACAACGTACAACTCACGTTTTACAAACTTGGATATTTTCGCTCTCACTTACTCTAAATAAAAAAAAATTGCTACTGAAATTCTTGCTGATCAATGATGACATTGTTTTTTTAATTAACAATCTATCTTATATTATAATTCATCGATTTTGTATAGTGCGCGTCCGTTACCTTTTCTACTTCAGCTTAAATCTCGTGGACAATAGTGTGAGGTATACGTTTTAGATATGTAAATTCTAATTATTTGTAAAGACTGCAATGTATAACTGTTTTTTGTCCCAAATAAATAAAAAAAATTGTTGACCCACAGGCGTTCATGTCGGTTGCAGGTTCGAAGCCTACGCAGTGCACTACCGATGTGTACTCACACAAGCTGTTAGCTTAGTTGGACGGGTTTTCAAGAATAGTAGTAATCTGTTATCTCAATTTATTGGGCTATTCTTCAAAATGTGCCGTGTGGTGACGGATTAAGAATACAAATTGTCACCACCCCAATTCATCACGTGGGTGTCGTAAGAGCCGACTAAGGGAGCAAATTAAGCAGGACAACAGCACTGCAAAGAGAAGGAAAACTTGAAACAAACCCTATACCAACCCGTCTGGCCAGCGTGGTAGGGTAGGCCAAAACCTCCTTTCTAAGGAGAGGCCTATGTCCAGCAGTGGACTAGTATAGGCTGTTGATGATTGATGATGATGATTCTTCAAAATAATCTTTACGTATACAATTACTTGCCTTGACTGACTGATTCATCAACGCTGACCCTTAATCGCTGCTACTACAAACTTGAAATTTTGTCAGTTTTAGCTATTAATGTAAAAATGGATTTTTAGAAATTTTACTTCTAAGGGGTAAAATAAGGGATGAAGGTTTTTTGTGGAAGTTCTTCATTTTCAAAGTTAGAAACACGAATTAAGAAATATTCACGAAAGCGAACCCGAGGGCAATAGCTAGTGATGATAAAACTATTATTAAATAGACCATAAGTGAAAAAACTATAAGGTTTATAATTACTGAAGGTTTATAAGGTGTATTTTAGACTCCCTCAATTTACTATTGATTGCGAGTCCTACGACAGTTTAACTTCCAATAAGGCCCGGTATTTTGTCATAAAAACTCTTTGTTGTGGTTTAAAAGCGTACAAGTGATGTTTATGAATTTGACAGAGAGAGCCTTAACGGATTTTCTTATGAAATTGTAGCTATTTGACTGTCAATTTTATTGTTGACAGACCTGTGAAAAAATAGGCGTGGTTCTCAGGAGTTGTGTTTTGTAAGTGTCATTACGTACCTAATAATACATATACGATAAAGAACGAATAAATTGCTTTCGTTCCTTAAATATAGATACGAAACGCTGACTTGTATGCCAATATATTATTAATTGACAATAATTTTATTTCCTAAAACTGTACAGTACAGTAGACAAAAACGAGAATCGATTTAGGAATACCTAAGTATTTTATGAAATCTTCATCGTATTCAAAAACATCGACTAATATATCTGTCAATGTTAAGCAGTAATATATAATTTTGCTCGTAGTTTATTAATGTTGTAGTATAAATTAAAAAAAAACACAAACAAAACAAATCACCAACCGTGGGAGAGTCATGCTTCAGCACTAATGGACCGGCTTGACTGGAGCGACGCACCGGCCTCTCAGAAAACCAGCAGAAGCAGGCCGGAATGGCGGCGAGACGCGCTGCCGAGCGCGCGCCCCCCTTTTGGGAGCACAAAGGGAACATGGGGGTTCCCACACAGGAGAGGGTCATCTACACGCCGTGGATGGCCCGAGGTACGTCGGGGT